AACTTAGAATGTTAAAATAATAATAATAATAATAAAATAATTAAAAATCCTATGAATTCTGACTCTCTGGCTATTTTTTTCCCATATATAAGGGCGCGGCATTGTTCCACGAATGGCCAGAGGGATATTAGCCCTTTCCTGTACATAAAGGAAGCAGTCGCTTTGCTTGGGCAGAAATTGCTAGCTTCTGTTGGTGAATACTTCAATTGCTGAGTTTCTCTCTTTTGTTTAAATCTAACCCTCTTTTAAAATCTACTCCTTACCCTTCCCTTATTCAAATTCTAATTTTGCCAAAAGATGCAACATTTCAATAGTATAAAAGGTTTGCTGAGACATGAACTCCACACATGCACAGAGACTAGATCAGCAAAAAAAAAAAAAAAAAAAAGGATAGGAAAAGAAATGAGAGAGAGAGAGAGAGAGAGAGAGAGGAAGGAGGGGGAACTGTGGGGGGGGGGAGGTTTTTTTTAATGTAAAACTTGGAACCATTGAGAGAAATCACCCTTAATGTGTCCCAAGTTTGAAATCTTAACATGCCAAATTCTTTTCACAGGTAAATATCAAAGAATTCCACCCCTCAATGGGATTAAAATCACAGACTTTGTTTGTCTGCATTTTAGGAACAGCATTTCCTGACAGGCTTCTCACATGAAATAATTTTCCCTTTTAACAGGATATGTGAACCCCGATAACAAAGTGTTTGTCCCTTTTTTCCTCCCACAGCGACTTTCTTTCTATTCCGTGAAACAAGCCTGAATCTCTTTGTGGCTTTGACACTTTTAAAATTACAAATAATCTGTTTTCCATTTATTTAATCCGTTTTTCCATGATGTCTATGAAGTTAATCGAAGCACAACCAAACATTGTTTGTGGAATGGTATTTGTTTACCTTTTGCCTGAGCATTTCTTATTAATTCTATCATTTTGGCTAGTGCAAGGTACTTGCACAATTTTAAATTAAGTTTCCCCCCATTGTTTCCCCAATTTTTTCAGTCCAGTAGTAATCCGTGTGGTTTTGATAATATCTTTGTATTATTTAATAATAATTCTTTTCTAAGTCTGATGTCTTTGTGTCAAGTCTGGTTTCATCTGACTGGTAATCTAATTTTTTTTTCTTCCCTTTTATTTTTTTTTACCTTTGTATTTTTACAGTTCTCTTTCTAGACTAACCGTGTTTTAAGTCCCCAAAACCCTGCCCCCTTACAGGATATCACTTATACAGATGTGCAATGATGAAAAGCGGCAACAACCCCTCCCTCAACTCGGTTCTTCGCGATCACAAGACCTGCACAACAGACGCCAGAGTGCTCACAGCTATCTCTTTCAAAGGATGTAGACTGACGGGGAGGAGTTGAATAGCGAGGACATTTTTTCACTTGAACCTCAAGCCTCGGTGCTCCAGGGATTCAAAAGATACATGCGTAAAAGATCACAATTATGTCAATATGCAAATGATATTTAATTAGTTGGTTTTGTGTATTATGTGTTATTATGTAGGAATGTTGAAGTGTGTCTGATTATGTGTTATCTCCACAAAAGAAAATTTCTGTGTAATGTAACATACATAACTATGAACAGCAGAAGGATATGGCTTACACCCCAAGTCTTCATGGAGGACTCCCATATATTACAATGCTTTCCCATATATTACAATGCTTTCCAATAGAGCAGACTATACTTAGATCAAGTCAACTGATGATCATATTTCCTTGTCCCACCTGGCACTCTGAAGAGTGCCAACCTTCCCTACCCATTTATTTATGCATTCAATGTTTTTCTATATATGAAGTTCCCAGATTTTACTATTTCTTTCTTTCTGTTCCAGAAAACTATTTCAAATCTTTTCTATGATTTCCCTGCATCTCTTGCAGACTCAGTACTGTCTTCAAGTAGCAATTGTTCTGCATTTATTTACTTATTAATCTTGGTTTTCATCTATAGCTGCGAAATTAATCTACCACAACCAAGTATTATTATCGGAACCATATTTTATCAGATAGATTTGAAGCAACACTCCTTATTATTATTTGAGATGTTTTGATTAGGATGCCAGATGAAATTGGGTGTAGATCATGTCCCAAATTTTATTTATTTATTTGAGGACACGACTACCATACGTAATATTATTATTGATAACAAGAAACGTGTATATGCCTTGATGTAGCAAGAATGGTCCCTTAAATTGACTCATTTGGACAAATGCCCCCTTAAAGAATGGCTTTGGTTTTAACATATTGGTTTTGAAAAGTTGAGAACCATGGGGCAAGATAAATTCAAATTGGACTCTACTGGAATTGGGCACGTGTATCCAGGCTGCAACTAGCTTTTGGTCCTTTAAGAGCAAGTGGACAACTTTCCATGAGTGCGAGACCAGAGCCTGCAATAATGAAAAATCCCATAGCTAAAGGCCAAGGCGAAGACCTCTCCCTCACGAGAGGTCTGCACCTGTGCCAGCTATGGTGAATGCCAGGCGACATGGTAAATTGAAAGCCCTGAGGGGATTCAACAGGATGTGTTACTGTACCACTATGCCGGTGTGAGACCACAGAAGAGCTAGCTTGGCACCTGAAAACACAAAAACGGTGGGGCTAAAAAAAAGCAAACTGAATTTTTTTTTCCAGTCAGTAGTAGACCTTCCTGCTAAATGTAAAGCATACACCACTATTGAAAATGTTTCTCCCAAGAGCTAGGGTGCCACAAGTAATTTAGTAACAAAATACAACAGATGTTCTTTTATATAATACCCTATATCCAGCTATCTGCACTGCTATACTTGCAAATGACCGTAAGAGGCATGGTCCCTTTCAGGTTTGCATAAACCCACACATCTGGTACGGTAGATACCAAGTTATTATTTAGCGCATATATATAACACGCGTGTACATTGTATTCGTCCGTGTTGCTCCCTCTTTTGCTGCCCTGCTCAACCCACCTCCTTTCCATTAGAGCGTATCCCCACTCACAGGGAACGCCTACATTCACCGAGATTTAGGGTGCGGAGAAAAGATTTGCAAGTTCTTACAGAACTTTAATGCAAATCTATCTCCGAATGGGGGACTGATACGGAACGGGGGGGGGGGCATGTCTTCACCTTCTTCTTCGCTACAATATATCTATTTATTTCCATCTGCCAAGCCCTTCCTCCGGGTGATGCCAGGTGACAGACTATGCGTACATGGACCATTGTCTTCTCAGGATGTGCTTATCTGCGCATATCTCCAGCTCTGCATATTCCCCCCTCCCTCCTCCATATGTTAATCCAGTGTAACCCAACCTCTCCTTAATGTATTCATGATGCAATCTGTGTAACCCAACCTTTCCTTAATGTATTCATGATGTAACTGGGATGTATTTTGCACTGTATTCTGGGACATGGAGGGAGTTTCAAAAGTTCATGTCACCCCTTTTTCGCTGTTCAATCTCGCCTTGAACCTGTTGCGCAATAAACTTGGATCTTCTGCAGTTTGCTCCTGCGTCCGGCTGAGCTCATTTTCTTCCGCAGGGACCCACGGACTTAGTCCGATGAGCTGGGTGGCAGAGTAACACCGCACCCAGATTTTTCCGTAACAGTTGACTTCGACATATCTGAATCCAGCTTCTCTGAGGAGGAAAATACTCTTGGGGCTGCCATACACCCGAAATCTCCCAGACATAGCCAGGATCTGACCATCAAAAGTGGCGTCCGGGCAATTTTCAAAAGTTGCTTAAAATGTCCAGAAAAACTGGGCATATGGAAGCCTATATTGGAAGTGTTGATTTTTTTGTGTAATTCCTAAAACTTAGCTTAAAAGCTGAACAACTTTGCCAAAAAAGTTCTTAACAAGTTTTGTGTCCAGATTTTCACTTGAAATATGACAACCCTAGATACTGTGGAAGAACTAGTGGGAGAGGGGGCTGGCCAATGCATAGCTGTCAATGTTTTCCTTTTTTTAAGGGAAATTCCCTTATTCCGAATATGATTCCTCACAAGAAAAGGGAAAAGTTGACAGCTATGGGCCAATGTGGTGCCCTCCATCCATAGTTGGATGACAGCTGCCATCATCCCTCTAGTCTAGTGCTTACTGAGCTGCCAGTCTGTTCCAGGGCAAAGTGCAAGGTTTGGGCCCCAGAGAGCTTGAGGTCAGGCTACCCTAGAGACCCCTTTACTCCTTAGGCACCCAGTGGGTTACTGTGCTCTGCAGGAAAGGCTTTCCTTGCAATCCCCCCAAAAAGCCAAGCCCAACCTATGTACAACTATTCGAGAGTACGGCTTTCAGTGCAGCAGCTTCAGGTTTTGTGGAACAGCATCCCTACTGAGAGATGACAGGCAGAGACACTCTGCACTTTCCAGAAACAACTGGTGACATTTTTGTCATCCACCTTGGCTTTTTATTTGTATTGTTTTTAAACCCATGTTCAGTATGGTTCATAGCTGTCAACTTTTCCCTTTTCTTGCGAGGAATCCTATTTGGAATAAGGGAATTTCCCTTAAGTTGACAGCTATGATATGGTTCTTAAGCCTAGTATCATAGAGTTGACCCTTGGAGTCCCTCCAGCTCTACAATGCTATGATACCTGTTCCTCTGTCTACCTAATATCTTTGGCTTACTAGTGAAGCACCTTGATTTAGCATAACCAAAGAGGTTTCCCTCTGTGTTTGAACAAACGGGTTGGCCAAAATTAATTGCGTCTATTAACTTAAATGGACCCACTCTGAGTACGACTAGCCATGGATACATTGGGTGCAATGACAGGCAAAACATAATCTTGTGTTATCAGTTTCTTATGAGTCTGGGGGTCAGTCTGCGGGAAGAGAGATGCGAGTCCTGCTTCTCCAGCCGGGGCATCTGTATCCTGGGAAGGTGAAGCACCACCCACCTCCTGAAGCTCAGCCTGCCACATGTCGTCCTCCCGTTTCCCCTCCTTGTCCACCTCAGCCGGACACTCCATTACTCCTGAGCCTGGCGACCCCTCAAGACTCAAGATGGCAGCAGAAAGAATTAACAGGCAGAGGAAACAAAACCAGGAAGCAACGCTTTCTTTTTAATGAATAAAATTGCCATTTGAATAGTGCAAATATGTTGTAAGGTGCTGCAGGCGAAACCTAAAATAAAAATGGTAAATGCCGAGAGCTTTTCGGACAGGACTAGGCCGGTACTTCTCATTCGGCCAACGACCACCCCTCATCTTCATTCGCAGATGGAAGTTGCTGTTTGAACTTGTAAACGTAGCTGATGTTATGCAAAGGGAAACTGTAGTTTTAAATTCGGGTGAGAATGCCCGTTTTGTTCAAATATGCTCTGGGTATACATTTTCCTGTTCCTATGGAACAGACACTGATTTTAAAGACACACATTGTAGGCAACCGTCCGCCATTTTGGCCACATATTCCTGTTATTTCTAAGTGGCTCTGTGGGCTCCCTAGAAATTAGCAGCCAGAATCTCGTTAAAAGCATTAAAAAGGCCAGGCACACTCTCAGGCGCAGGGGTCCCCCATCAGCAGGCTGAGCGAGGCCCCCTCCCAAATGTAGCAGAGCTGATATATCTGGTGCATCTAAATGGGGGGGGGCAGCGCAGGAGACGTGAAGCCCCTTCTCTGGCTTAGACCCGGCAGCCGCTGACAGCAAAGGAAGAGATGAATGACTGGAGCTGGGAACAGGTGTTGCGGTGCTGTGTGGCTCGGCAGCTCTGGGGCTTTGGCAGCTCCTCTATCCAGGAATTCATATCCATCAGGTACTGGGGGCTGCGGAGAAGATGGGTCAGCGTGTAAAAAGCCAGGCATAGTCACCCCCTTCCACACAAAAATGTACGCAGGAGAGTTTAATCTGGAGCTGCCTTGGCAAAGATACGCTCCAAAACAGCTGCATTTACAGAGAAGGAACGTTTGTGGGAGGGGCAGTAGCTGAGCGGGTGAGCCTCTGCCTTGCATGCAGGAAGAAGAAGAGTTTGGATTTGATATCCCGCTTTATCACTACCCGAAGGAGTCTCAAAGCAGCTAACATTCTCCTTTCCCTTCCTCCCCCACAACAAACACACTGTGAGGTGAGTGAGGCTGAGAGACTTCAGAGAAGTGGGACTAGTCCAACGTCACCCAGCAGCTGCATGTGGAGGAGCGGGGAAGCGAACCCGGTTCCCCAGATTACGAGACTACCGATCTTAACCACTACACCACACTGGCTCTCCAGTCCCCAGAATCCTCCGGGGAGGGCTGGGAGTGCCCCCTGCCTGAAACCCTGGAGAGCTGCTGCCAGTCTGTGTAATAATAATAATAATAATAATAATAATAATTTTTTATTTACACCCCGCCCTTCCCAGTTCAGAAAACCGGACTCAGGGCGGCTAACAACAAATTTAAAACACTTAATTGATGCAACAAAAAACAGCATAAAATACAGTATAAAACGTGAATAACAAAAAATTCAGAATTCAAAAATCAATTTAGGGGGAAAATCCATCCAATAAACATTGGATGATCACTGAGGTTAGCTGGCTAAATTAGTCCTATTTGGGCCAGCGAGGAGACCAGGGGAGAATTAGCTGTGGGATCCCAGAGCGGGTAATCTTCATAAAAAGGGGAGGGGGAGGGAAGGAAGGGGAATAAAAGATCAGGCTAAGTTCAAATTGAAAGCCAGGTGGAATAGCTCTGTCTTACAGGCCCTGCGGTGGGAAGTTAAATCCTGCAGGGCCCTGGTCTCATGGGACAGAGCATTCCACCAGGTCGGAGCCATCACTGAGAAGGCCCTGGCCCAGGATAATCTGACTTCCTTAGGGCCCGGGACCTCTAAGTTAAGATTATTCATGGACCTTAAGGTCCTATGCGGGGCATACCAGGAGAGGCGGTCCCGTAAATATGAGGGCCCAAAGCCACATTGTGTAGAAAATACTGAGCTAGATGGGTTCAGCATAAGGCAACTTCCAAAACTGCCTCTGAATTTGGCGCTGGCGTTGTTATTGTTAAACATTTGTGACCCACCTCTTCTCTGCTTCAGCAAGTGCCTGACCGTTGCCCCAAGGATGGGGAACTTGTGGACCACCAGGTATTGCTGGACTACAATTCCCATCATTCCTGACTTGCTGGGGCTGATGGGAACAGGGGTCTAATAACCTCTAGAAGGGCCACAAGTTAGCCACCCCATCTCAGCAGCTGATCCCTAAGCATGACTGGTGTTATGTACTGAGTTGAATAGGATCCAAAAGGCAGCAATCCAGCTCCAGGTGGAAGTGAATCCGCAACCTGATTGGCCTACAGGTGAATCCTGGAGTTAGCCAATCATGTGGGGCCCATTGTGTAAATAATGTATATAAAGCAGACATTCGGGGGGAACTTCCATTCCTCCTCACCACTATGAGCTGAATAAAGAGCATAAAATCCACTCTCGACTCCAAGTATAATTCAACTCCCTTCTCTCAAAAAGCCCTGAAGGCCAGTGAACTCTGTTTCTGGGTACCAGTTCCTACTGGGCCTTCCTCCCGCCCCCCCAACCAGCCCACTGCACACCTGATTCCCCTCCCCGCCTCAACCTACCGTCCTTCGGCATCCCGGGTCTCCCCGTCGCGTCCCATCAGCAGATACTCCTGGCCAGTGACCAAGCGAGTCCGACAGGCAGCACGGACCACAAAGCGCCTGATCTCGTTCTCAGAGATCCCAATGTCTGCGACTGGAGAGGAAGAGAGAATGGGAGTCAGGGGGTGATGGGGGGGCAGTGAGAATAATACAAGAGGAAATGAGCTGAACAGGTCAGGTTAGTTTCGTTGTGGGATAAAAGGTAAAGGTAAAGGTACCCCTGCCCGTACGGGCCAGTCTTGACAGACTCTAGGGTTGTGCGCCCATCTCACTCAAGAGGCCGGGGGCCAGCGCTGTCCGGAGACACTTCCGGGTCACGTGGCCAGTGTGACATCGCTGCTCTGGCGAGCCAGAGCCGCACACGGAAACGCCGTTTACCTTCCCGCTAGAAAGCGGTCCCTATTTATCTACTTGCACCCAGGGGTGCTTTCGAACTGCTAGGTTGGCAGGCGCTGGGACGGAACAACAGGAGCGCACCCCGCCGCGGGGATTCGAACCGCCAACCTTTCGATCGGCAAGCCCTAGGCGCTGAGGCTTTTACCCACAGCGCCACCCGCGTCCCACCCGTTGTGGGATAAAGGCCTCAATAAAAACTTATAATTATTTTGTTTCATTTTTAAGATAATCGCCATCCAGTGGCGTAGGAAGGGGGGGTGCAGGTCGTCCTGGGTGTCATCCCTGAAGGGGGTGACAAAATGGCTAAGGGCTTTGTGATGTGGCGGCTTGCCCACCTGCAGGCTCCACGCTGCCCAAAACGGCAGGGAAACTTTTAATGTTTGATGCATCACTGTATTTTAATATTTTGTTGGAAGCCGCCCAGAGTGGCTGGGGAAGCCCAGCCAGATGGGCGGGGTAGAAATAATAAATAATAATAAATTATTATTATTATTATTATTATTATTATTATTATTATTATACCTTGGGTTAAGTACTTAATTCGTTCCGGAGGTGCATTCTTAACCTGAAACTGTTCTTAACCTGAAGCACCACTTTAGCTAATGGGGCCTCCTGCTGCTGCCGCACCGCCGGAGCACGATTTCTGTTCTCATCCTGAAGCAAAGTTCTTAACCTGAGGTACTATTTCTGGGTTAATGGAGTCTGTAACCCGAAGTGTATGTAACCTGAAGCGTATGTAACCCAAGGTACTACTGTATTATTATTGCATCCGCCCGCCGCCTCTCCCTCACCCACCCTACAGCTGGGGGGTGGGTTGCGGTGGCGAGGCTCGATGCAGCGCGCCCTGCCCCAGCTCGCCCCGCCCAATGGGTGGCTTGCCCTACCCCTGGGCAGGGAGCACACGCAGCGCTCCAGGGGCCTGACCTACGGCGCTGCATTGGGGGTGGGGACCAGCTACAGGTGGCAGACAACAGGAGCAAAACCTAGCAAACAGGTCTGCAACCAACTACCCCTCTAAGAAGGCTTCGGCTGGGCAATTTGGAATGGGCAGCAAGCAGAGGGGTGCTGTGGGTGCCGTGGTCCCGGGCCCAATTTTGCTGTTTGCGCCACCACAGCAGGCTCTTTCATTGGAGCCTGACTCTTAGCTGTCAACCTTCCCTTTTTTTGCGGGAAATTCCCGTATTCCAGCGCCGTTTCCTGCTGCTATCCCGGATTGTTAGATATCCCGTAGACTGTCCCCAGGACAGGTGAGGCTGCTGATCCCTTATTTTCGAGGCTGCTGATCCCTTATTTTCAAATCTGAAAGTTGACAGCTATGGCCTGACTCCTGTTGATGCCCTTCTGCTTCCAACAAGCCGTTGAAGTGGAGATTTTTAGCCCAGCCAGTGTCTGTGTTGGATTTGAAGGCATTTTTATACATGCAATTGCTGTAATGGCTTTTATATGTCAAATTGTTTTAGGTTTTGTTGTTGCTGTCGTCGTCTTTATGGTTGAATCGCTTCGAGGTATTTCCTAGGAAGTGATTTGTAGACTTAACAAAATGAAATAAACATCACTCACTGTACTGCAAGGGCTCCAGGATGATAACTTCGTAGACGCGGAAGGCGCTTTCTTGGGTCTCGCGCTCCACTCGAACTCGGAACCCTGAAGGTGGGAAAGAAGAAGAAGAAGAAGAGTTTGGATTTGATATCCCGCTTTATCACTACCCGAAGGAGTCTCAAAGCGGCTCACATTCTCCTTTCCCTTCCTCCCCCACAACAAACACTCTGTGAGGTGAGTGGGGCTGAGAGACTTCAGAGAAGTGTGACCAGCCCAAGATCACCCAGCAGCTGCATGTGGAGGAGCGGGGAATCAAACCCGGTTCTCCAGATTACGAGTCCACCGCTCTTAACCACTACACCACACTGGCTCTCAGAGAAAAATGACAATAGCCGGGAAGGTACATGTCAGCAACCCACAAGACGGGAACTAATTTCAGACCATACACTGCTTGATGAAGAAAACGAGTCTCCAAAACCAACATATAAAAGGAATAAAGAAACAAAAGGCACCTCCAAACATGCAATAATTTGCAGGAGGAATATGGTCACACACCAGAAGTTTAGGTTTGTGCATTTAAAGTGGATTAAAACATTTCTTTTCACCCAAGGGCAAGAAATCCTACTAAAAAACAACATTTTGCTGTTTGGTAAATGACAGACAGGGAAAGGATGGGAGATAAATAAATAATTTACGGTCGGTGCCAGCGCTTAATGGCGGTCCTACCTCCGAGCTCCGGAGAAGGACTGCTTCGCAAGTTCGGGTCTTACCCGCTACGGCGAGCGGGGGACCCCTAAAATCCCAGGCGCTGAAGCCTGAGAACAAGGAGACTCGGTGGGCACCTTTGCGCCCCCCGGTACCGTGAAAGAGCCTTTTTAAAGGCTACGGATCGACATCGGGAGTGAGCGCGGTGCTGAGAGTCGCTACCCAGCCTGCGAAGTGAAGCCGCGTCGCCATAAGCGGAGAGCGCCGATTCCTTCCTGAAAAGTAAATCTGGACTGAACTCCCGTGAGTAAGAGCTGGAAAATAATCGGGACCTTTTAAATTTTGTAAAATTGGGCTGAAAACGGGGAGATTTAAATCAAGGAAGTCTGCCTCCCCCCGACTGCATGAAAGTGAAAGCAACGGAACTCTAAACTTGCATCCGTTGAAACCCGCTCTTTGATCAGCTAAACCGGACATTTAGACCTTTGATCTCCCCTCTAGCTAGCAGGGCAGAGGGGAGGTGAATGAGACTATTAATTGCATGATTTATTTGAAGTAAAAAATCTCTGCTGTCTCACCTACTGAAAGCATGAAACGGTCTGCCTTTCTGGGACACTGAACTGACTTTTTCCTGTAAAGTGACACTTTGTTACAAAGTTTTCACAGTGCTTGGCTACAGTATATTATAAGAAGAAGCAGTATAAACTGGGCAACTGTGGCAATTTGAAGTTGCAAGTTTTCTGAAATATTGACTCGGTTTGTGTTAAGCCTCCTTTTTTTTTTACATTTTTGGATATTCTCCTTTGTCTTTGTATTGGGACATTTTGTTCTATGGCCATTTTGATTTGCTCCCTCTAGAGGATAAAGTAAAGTCCGGCACGGCCTAAGACAGTGGAATTTTCCAACGGAGAACAAATACCGTGGGAATTGACCTTGACATGAGCGGCTCACAAGAAGAGATTGTTACAAGAGCTAAGACCAAGCAACAACAACAACAACAGCTGCAGCAGCTACAGACAAAGAAAAGAGGCTTCAATTTCAGGTGTAACAGCCGGACTAGCAGGAACAACAGGACAAGATAAAGGAACAGCCGCTTCTATGGAAGCTGTGACAGATGCTTTGCTCAAGATAAACCAAACTCTGGAGTCTTTGACAAAACAGACTTCAGAGAACACACAAAAATTAACAGAAATATCGGTAAGATTAAACCAGAACACAGAATCCATAAATAAATTGGTGGAAGAAAACGCCACCACGCGTAAAATTGCTGAAGAGGCTAAAGCGACTGCTGGAGAGACACAGGAGAAACTAGAGCCGATTGCTAAGAAGGTTCATGAGCATGATGCAACCTTGGCCTTGTGGGACCTACAGAGAAAAGAGAGAAACTTGAAATTAAGACTGATTCCGGAGAATGAAAGAGACAATCTTGCGGAATATTTGACACGTGAGTTTGTGGATTGTTGGGACCTTGACGAAGACGAAGTTAAAATTACGACAGCTTTCAGATTAGGTAAAAAGCAAGACAGAAAGACCCCGAGAGACTGTTTGATCACACTCAGATCCAAGGAGGAAAGAGATAAAATATTAGGACTGCACTTTGAAAAGGCCTTGCGAATTGGAAACTCAGCTGTACAGATCTTCAAAGACATCCCAAAATATATTTTGGATTTAAGAAACTTCTACAAGGATTTGGTTCTTCTGTTAAAGAAAAATTCCATTCGCTTCAGGTGGGAGTTCCCACAAGGATTGTCATTTGACTACAAGCTAAAGAAGGTGAAGATAAAGACAATTCAAGACAAGGATAAATTTCTGGCAAGAAACCAGGAGGACCTACAGAAGGGGACTGTGGACGTAATTGCAGAACAGAGGAGAGCATTGGAGATTTTGAACCTTTCGATCGGACAAAAACCACCACCATCAGAAGAAGAGCAACAACTTGGAGCTGTTGGAGGAGTGTAAAAAAAAAAAAAAATTATAATAACAAGATGGCTCTGCAATTCCTTAGTTGGAATTGTAATGGGCTTAATGGGCCTTTGAAGAGAAGACAAGTATTCCATATATTGAACAAAGAACAACTGGACTTGATATGTCTACAAGAAACTCACATAACCAGAGCCCACAGGAGACTACTCATCAACAAAAGGCTAGGACAAGAATTTATTTCATCAGATAAAGTTAAGAAAAGAGGAGTTGTAATATATGTGAAAGAGAAATGGGCCCCAAAAATGATATTCAAAGACGAACAAGGGAGATATCTGGCAGTGGAAATACAAGTACAAGGAGAAAAATTTTTAGTGGTTGGAATTTATGCACCGAATGAAGGCAAATCTGACTTCTTTAAGAGACTTCACGAAACCCTGACTGACTACCTGGATTACAATATGATAATCATGGGAGACATGAATGGCGTGGTCTCCACTAATATGGACAAGGCACAAAGACTAATAGTTAGCAAGGAAGGGAGACTCCCTAAGACTTTTTTTGAAATGACAGAAAATATGGACTTGATAGATATATGGAGAACAAGGAACCCTCTGGAGAGAGAGGGAACTTTCTTCTCCCAAGCAATGATGACCTGGACAAGAATCGATCAAATTTGGATTACTAGTGGAATGGCTCCAAAGATTAAGAAAGTGGAAATCTGTCCAAAAACTTGCTCCGACCATAACGCCCTGAAGATGGAGATGAAAATCACAATAACTGGTCAATTCAGATGGAGAATGAATGACACCCTCTTTCGAGATAAGGAGATTCTCACGAAGGCCCAAAAGACTTTAAAAGACTACTTTGAAATAAATCTGAGGACCGACGTGGAGAAAAGAGTGATCTGGGACGCAAGTAAGGCGGTAATGAGAGGATTTTTGATACAACAAAATTCTATAAAGAGGAAAAAACAGAATGAGAAAAAAGAAAAGATTTTGGAAATGATAAAGGAAGGAGAGAGAAAATTAAGAACAAAACCAAAGTCTCAGGACATCCTAAGAGAGATTAAGTTGTATCAAACACAATATATGGAATTGATGAACCAAGAGATTGAATGGAAGATAAAGCAAATGAAGCAAAAGACTTTTGAATCAGCAAATAAATGTGGCAAACTCTTGGCATGGCAACTGAAGAAAAGGCAGAAATTAAATACAGTTACAAGCCTAGAGGTGGATGGGAAAAATATATCTAAACCCAATGAAATTAGAAACTGCTTTCTAAGTTATTTCAAAAAACTTTACACTCAAGGCCCGCAAAATGAAGAAGACATAGATAAATTCCTTGGAGAATATGGATCACAAAGTATCTCTCACCAAAGTAAGATGGATTTGAACCAGAGAATCTCAGAACAAGAGATAGAGGCTGCCATTCAGAATATGCAACTGGGCAAATCTCCAGGACCAGATGGACTGACTTCCGGATACTACAAATCGTTGAAGGAATGGTTGATTCAACCACTAAGAGAAGTTTGTAATGAGATCCTTGAGGGAAAAAAGGCACCTGAATCGTGGAAAGAAGTATATATTTCACTCATACCAAAATCAGAGACTGAAAAGACCCAACTTAAGAACTACCGCCCAATATCATTGCTTAATGTGGATTACAAAATTTTTGCAGACATTTTGGCAAAGAGATTTAAAAGAGTGTTGATGGAGAAGATTCATAGGGACCAAGCAGGCTTTCTCCCTAAAAGGCACCTGGCAGACAATGTAAGGAATGTAATAGATATTCTGGAAAAGCTAGAGGTGAATATAAACACTAAAGCAGTACTGATCTTTGTGGATGCGGAGAAAGCCTTTGACAATATTTCTTGGAGCTTTATGAGGAAGAATCTTCATGGGATGGGGGTAGGCCAGGGTTTTGAGAATGGTATGGCTGCAATATACTCAGAACAAAAAGCTAAACTGATTGTAAATAATGTTGTGACTGAGGAACTTAAGATAGAAAAAGGAACACGACAGGGGTGCCCGATTTCCCCATTACTTTTTATCTCAGTTCTGGAGGTGTTGCTGAATATGATAAGAAATGACCAGCAGATCAAAGGGGTGCAGGTCGGAGCTAAACATTATAAGTTGAGAGCGTTTGCAGATGACTTAGTATTGACTTTGCAAGAGCCAAACACTAGCACGAAAAAGGCTTTAGAAATAATACAACAGTTTGGCCAGGTAGCTGGATTTAAGTTGAATAAGCAAAAAACAAAAGTTTTAGGGAAAAATTTAACAGATATGGAAAAGGAGAAATTTCAAGAGGAGACAGGTTTGACAGTGGTTAAGAAGGTGAAATACCTAGGGGTATACTTAACATCTAAAAATTTGAATTTGTACAAGGACAACTATGAAAAATGTTGGTCAGAAATTAAAAGAGATCTAGAAATATGGTCAAATTTGAAATTGTCAATGTTAGGCCGAATTGCAGTGATTAAAATGAATGTATTGCCTAGAATGTTATTTTTGTTTCAGACCTTGCAGATTCTCGATAAGATGGAATGTTTTAAGAGGTGGCAGAAAGATATTTCGAAATTTGTCTGGCAGGGCAAAAAGCCCAGAATTAAATTTAAAATATTGACAGATGCTAAAGAAAGAGGGGGGTTTGCCCTGCCGGACTTAAAATTGTATTATGAGGCAGCAGCTTTTTGCTGGCTGAAGGAATGGATGCTCCTCGAGAATACAGACATCTTGGATCTGGAAGGCTTTAATAATGTTTTTGGTTGGCATGCATATTTATGGTATGACAAAATTAAGCAGCATAGTGCCTTTAAAAATCACATTGTTAGAAAAGCACTGTTTAATGTATGGATGAGATATAAAGATCTGTTGGAAAACAAAACCCCTAGATGGGTGTCACCAGTCGAGGCTAAAGCAGTAAAAAAACTCAATATGGAGGTCGGATGGCCGAAGTATTGGGAAATTTTGGAACAGGATGGAGATAAGTGGAAATTACAAAGTTATGACAAATTGAAGGATAAAGTACAAAACTGGCTCCAATACTACCAAGTAATGGAGCTTTTCAAACAGGACAGGAAAATTGGCTTTCAAGTGGATAAATCGAAACTAGAAATTGAATTGTTAGAACCCAACACTAAGAATTTGTCAAGAATGTATAATTTGTTGCTGAAATGGAATACACAGGATGAAACGGTGAAATCAGCCATGATTAAATGGGCACAAGACATTGGTCATGACATTATGTTTGCCGACTGGGAACAGTTATGGACCACCGGTGTTAAGTTTACGGCATGTAATGCCTTAAGAGAAAACATAATGAAAATGATTTACAGGTGGTACATGACCCCAGTCAAGCTGGCAAAAATTTATCATTTGCCCGATAACAAATGTTGGAAGTGTAAAGAGACTGAAGGTACCTTCTACCACCTTTGGTGGACATGCCCGAAGATTAAGGCCTTCTGGGAAATGATCTATAATGAAATTAAAAAGGTACTCAAATGTACCTTCTCGAAAAAACCAGAGGCATTTCTCTTGGGCATTGTCGGCCAATTGGTGACAAAGAGGGATAGAACTTTCTTTATGTATGCTACAACAGCAGCAAGAATACTCATCGCAAAGTATTGGAAGACCCAAGATCTACCCACTTTGGAAGAATGGCAGATGAAAGTGATGGACTATATGACACTGGCCGAGATGACAGGCAGAATCCGTGACCAACGAAAAGAGACGGTGGAAGAAGAATGGAGAAAATTTAAAAGTTATCTTAAGGACTACTACAAACTTAATGAATGCTAAAATGTTGTGGTTTCCAGAAACAAAGGGATACAGGGATATAAGGTTAGAAATTTAAAAAAGGACTAAGAAGACAGAGATTGGAAAATAACAATTGGGAGTTGCTAGTTGAACTTTGGACACTGGGATGCAGAGAGGGGGGGTATGGGGAAGTCAAAGGAAAGAAGTTTATGAAAATATGTTTGAAACTATACGTGTATGTTTGTTATTTTTGGTGTTTGTTTGTTTTTTGTTTAAAAAGTTTCTAAAACCAATAAAAATTTTATAAAAAAAATAAATAATAATAATTTACGAGAAGATTTGCAAATATCCTGCAAGCAACCAGAGGACAAATGTTCATTGTCATAGAACCTCCTCATAAAAATATCAGAATGAATGTTCAATAAAGACCAGGCTCAGTCTAACTGCTGTGTAAGCGTTGTGCAAGCAAATCAGGGTGATTTCTCAATACGCAGGTTGTCAGGAAGTGCCCACTGACAAAAGGAGACAAAACCCCACAAGCCTCTGGAGGCTGTTAAGTGCACTGGACTAGGAACTTGAACTTTTCCAAGTATTTCCTTGTTGGAAATGTGTGCTATGTATGAAGAAGGGAAAGGGAAAGGGATTTTCAGTGGTGGCCACTCCAATATGGAATGCCATTTCCAAAGAGGTCTGCCTAGTGCCAAAATAACCTCCCTCCGTCCCTGGTTAAGTCATTTTATATTTTCCCATGCATTTTGTGTCAGGCCTTTAAGTTTTTAGCTGTCAACTCATTTGCTTGTTAATGCTGTGGCTTTAGCAGCCATGAACCCGGGTGTTGCTTGGGAAGTCTAAAAAAATCAGTGCAGTTCTGAAACCAGTTTTTAGAATCAGTGCAATTTTGAAATCAGCAGTTTAAAACCACTGCAATTTTTTAAAGGTTCAGCCTGTCTTGTTGATTCAAGAATGTTGCATCCAAGCCCAGAAAGAAATCTGCTGCTTGATCTCAAGGACCACCATGCAAAATTTGGTTACGATACTTTAAGAGATGTACAGATGCACAGCAGACAAACAAAAAACTCTCCAACTTTCATGTTGTTCGCCACCATCCTGAAATCTCTCAGGCAGAGGGCAGAATGCAAATATTTTCAACAAAGACATAAACGTCAGACCTCAGCTGGGTCTGCAAGTCGGCTACAGAGCTGCATGTGAGCCACGAGCAGAAAAGATGCAAAGTCTGAAATTATGCATCACAGAGGCTTTGAAGGAGACCCGGAAACTACAGCTAAGCCAGAATGTGGCAGCTAGACTGGTGACTGGGGGCGGCTGCTGAGACCACATAACACCGGTCCTGAAAGACCTACATTGGCTCCCAGTACGTTTCCGAGCACAATTCGAAGTGTTGGTGTTGACCTTTGAAGCCATAAATGGCCTTGGTCCTGTATACCTGAAGGAGCATCTCCACCCCCATCATTCAGCCTGGACACTGAGGTCCAGTGCTGAGGGCCTTCTGGCGGTTCCCTCGCTGCGAGAAGCAAAGTGACAAGGAACCAGGCAGAGGGCCTTCTCAGTAGTGGCACCCGCCCTGTGGAACGCCCTCCCACCAGGTGTCAAAGAGAACAACAACTACTAGACTTTTAGAAGACATCTGAAGGCAGCCCTGTTTAGGGAAGCTTTTAATGTTTGATGGACTATTGTATATTAATATTCTGTTGTGAGCTGCCCAGAGTGGCTGGGGAAACCCAGCCAGATGGGCGGGGTATAAATAATAAATTATTATTATTATTATTATTATTATTATTAGAGGTTAGAGATGGTGAGACATCAGTGGGGAAGAGCCAAAAGACCCGGGCTGGAGAGGCTGGAGGGTCTCTGATCCCTCCCCAACCCCTTACCGTAATGCACACGGGGACTATAGCATGCAAACTCCATGCGTGCTTGCTCCGTAATGGCCTCGTCAAGGGTACGCTTCAAACGCGGACAGGCACCTGTGCAAGTGAGGGAGGAGATAAGGTCAGGTTAACTAGGTGTCAGGGAATGCTTTGGATCTGAAGATGGGGGAATGCAGTCGCAGGCAGACCACCTTCTCTCAGAAGTGGAGGGGGAGTATTCCCCCCCTTCCAGTGTTTTCAGAAGCAGAGAGACAGGCAGACACAGACACAGAAGCTGAACAGATTAGGGAGGAGATACCCAGCTACGAGATAATGGCAAGAGATCCAGAAGGGAGAGGGCAGTGGGGAGACACATCAGTTGGGAGTGTGGGGGAACCCCCCTCCGAGTCCGAACGTATCAGAGAGCAAAGGAGGCAGAGAGGGGGAGGAACTTCATGTTGGTGCGCTCCTTGCTGCGGGAGTCGAATTCAGAGCAGGCAACTGCCCTCCTTGCGGAGAGCTGTGTATTTTGTGACCGCAACATGAAGCTTTAATAAAAGAAGAAGAAGAGGAGTTTGGATTTGATATCCCGCTTTATCACTACCCGAAGGAGTCTCAAAGCGGCTAACATTCTCCTTCCCCTTCCTCCCCCACAACAAACACTCTGTGAGGTGAGTGGGGCTGAGAGACTTCAAAGAAGTGTGACTGGCCCAAGGTCACCCAGCAGCTGCATGTGGAGGAGCGGGGAATCAAACCCGGTTCACCAGATAACGAGTCCACCGCTCACAACCACTACACCACACTGGCTATAAATCTATCAACTGTTCGTTGATTCTTATCTATGGAGTTACCGAAGGGTGGGGAGGATTCTCCAAGCTTGACACTATGTTCCCCTGGCAGGGAAGGATGGATTAATGCAAGGCTGGGAGCTGAGATGCTTCAACAGAAGTGGGCAGGGAGGTGGAGACTAGGCAGTCCAGGTTTGTAATGGGAGAGGTGTAGGGAAAGTGAGCACAGAATGGGGACCAGCAATGGGCAAATCTGTCCATTCCAGTTCCTCTCCATTCCTGACTTTTCTCATCTCAAACTCCCCACATTTCCACATCAGTTGGCAGGTTTCTTTTATATAAAAAAAGATAATAAAAGCCCTCATGAAAATAAATCAGCGTTTTAGTGCAGCTTTCTCCTAATGTATCCATTTTTGCAAAGCAAGTCCCCCTAAAATAATGTGATTTTTGTATGTGTGTGTGTGTGTGTGTGTACGTTATTTTCACTAACATTTGTGTTTTTATACAAACCTGATTCCTGGTATGCTGAAGAAGTTTCCTGAAGATTTCATGTGTGTGTGTGTGTGTGTGTGTGTGTGTGTGTGTGTGTAAAGGTAAAGGGACCCCTGACCATTAGGTCCAGTCGCGGACGACTTGCGTTGCGGCGCTCATCTCGCTTTACTGGCCGAGGGAGCCAGTGTGCAGGTCATGTGGTCAGCATGACTAAGCCGCTTCTGGCGAACCAGAGCAGCGCACGGAGACGCTGTTTACCTTCCCGCCAGAGCAGTACCTATTTATCTACTTGCACTTTGACGTGCTTTCGAACTGCTAGGTGGGCAGGAGCAGGGACCGAGCAATGGGAGCTCACCCCATCGCGGGGATTTGAACCGCCGACCTTCTGATCAGCAAGCCCTAGGCTCTGTGGTTTAATCACAAATGGCTGCAGAAAAGCAGAGAAGCTGAATTTGAGAGTTGAAAAATGAGAAAAAGAGAGAAAACCGACACTTGCACCATCTCTCCATCCCACCTCCCAGGTAGGTGGGGTTTGAAGCACAGCCTAAGAAGAGGCGTGTGCAGAGTCCCTCGGATCCTGCTGTTGGGATCCAGCAAGCAAGAGCATTCTGGTCTCATTGCCTTAGGGAACCTCAACCCACCATCCAGGCGAAACGAAGGAGGTGGCGTGTTTGTGCTGCGGGAGGGATGGGCCTCCAATGGCCTTGCTCCAGATTCCCCCCCCCCCCAGCGGAAGGCTGCCCAGGCAACCTCACCTTCGGCACATTGGCAGACGTCTTCGGAGCACAAGGCCGACACGTACTGAGGCTTGTTGGGGGCGCCATAGAAGATGCTGCAGCGCTGGTCTGAAAGGCGAAAGGAGAACTCTTAGAAATTGTATGTGACATAACAGTGACATGATCCACATGTGGTGGACGTGTGAAAAGATTAAGATTTGGGGGGGGCGGAAATATACGATGAATTAAAAAAGATGATGGGGATAACTTTTACGAAAGAAACGGAGACATTTCTATTAAGTATTTTAGATAAAGAGATCGCAAAAAATCTAAGAGAGGTATTATTGTATGCAACCGCTGACATTTGCATATCACCAAAACCTCAGCATATTCGTCTTTTTTCAGAAAGTGAATGAGGTTATTATTATTTTTATTATTACTTAATTAATTAATTAAATTGTATACTGCCCTATACCTGCAGATCTCAGGGTGGTTACAACATAAAATCACAAAAACATAAAATACATAATAAAAACAAAAACAACCCAATAATCCCCCCCATAGGGCTTTCCCTCCCTATCTTCTCACTGTGTACCCCATAAACCTGCAATGGAAATTCTCCCATTGCTCCAAAGCAGATTTAGGGGTTGTGGCAGCTTACAAAGGGAGGGGAGAATCTTGTTTCATGAATGCAAAAACTCATTTGACTCCCGCCCAGAGCCAACCTAAATTAATCCCCTGGATAGAAAATATCAAACTTCTCCAGAACATTTAATGCATGGAAAGCACTCTGGCCTGATTCAGACATAGCACCTCTCTCTCTCTGCCTAGGTTTTTAAGTTGCAAGCAACTCCTGTTAACCCTGGATAAAATTAACCTGGGTAGTTGTGCATGTGGTAATTAAATTACAATCTCAAACCGAAGAGGATGTTGTCATGTCAGGTTACAATTTAATAAGCAAAAATTATCCCTTAATTGCCTGCTACAGCAAGCAAAGGCAATGCTCTCCTGCTCCCTAAGGCCGCAGATACTAAACCTTTGCTCCACCAGAAAGATGCAGTCTGGTTCCCCCGCCCCCACTCAGGCCCTGTGACCTGTCAATCACTTACCTGGTTCATAAAAATCGTAGATGGTGGCACTGGCTGGCTGGATTTTCCCCACAGGCACCAGCTGCTTTGCTGTAAATGATACGCATTCGCGTCCGGATGCTGGCACCTATAAATGGGTATATTTAAGAACGTAAGAGAAAGCCCTGTCTGCTGTATCGATCTAGTGGCCTGTCTTGTCTAGCATCCTATTCTCACAGTGGCCAGTGGGAGCTGAGTACCACAACCACCTCTGAAATAAGTAAACAAAGCAGCAGACCAACTAAACCACTGCAAAAAGCGACTGAAAAAGATCAGAGGCAAAAATCCAACACAAAGCCCAGAGGGGGAGCACAACAATAATGTAAAGGAAACATGATGCTTCCTTATATTGGATCAGGCCGCTGGGCAATCTCCCCCAGCTTCCCCCAACCTGATGCCCTCCAAATGGTTTGGATAACTATCAGCCCCGAGGTAGCACACGGGTCACTGGTACTGGTAATAATAAATAATAATAATAAATTTTTATTTATACCCCGCCCTTCCCGGTTCAGAAAACCGGGCTCAGGGTGGCTAACAACAAATTTAAAACACTTAACTGTGATACAGCAAAAAACAACATAAAATACGGTATAAAAAGTGATAGGGCAGGAGGCAGGGAGGCCGCCAGTAGGTGGCGCCAGAGCCAATGGCAGGCACAGGCAATGCGTTATCTCCTCCTCTCTGCTGAGTTCTATAATGGCAATGCTGAGACCAAGGAAGGAGGAGGCTGACAGCCAGCGCCACCCGCTGGATGGCATGTAAGTAACGTGGCAGGCTGGAGGCAGATCGAGGCTGGCAAGGCCTCCACTGAGCCCAAAACATCAGAAGGGCACAGGTGTGATTGCCAAGTGCCGTCTATGCAAAGTGGAATCAGTCCTGCAAAGGCAAAAGCCCTGATAAGTAGAGATGTGAGGGACCAAATCCAGGGCCTCCTGCATATCATTTCAGAGTTGGTTTTGTGCTGTAAGCAGGGAGATCCGAGTTCGAATCCCCACTTGGCCATTAAGCTCACTGGGCCAGTCACTTCAAAAGGGAGGGGACTCCAGCTGCTTGGCTGGAAGGTGCCCTCAAACCCTTGCTTCTTTGGGTGGAGGATAGAGAGGCAGGTGTCAGAGTGCGCAGAAACTAGCCTAGTGCACAAGGGCAGAATCGACCTTTGTCGCTCCGCCCACTTTCACCGCTTTGCCCCGCCCACTTCTGGCATGCGGCCCCCAGAAGGTTGCAGAGAAGCAAATGTGGCCCTCGCTCAGATAAAAAAAAGGTTTTCTGCTTCTGCCATATAGTCCAAAGTGGAGTAAATCAAAAGGCAGGTTGGGTGGGTGCCATCCTGGCCTCTTGCACGTTGCAACGGGGAGGGGGAGAGAGTTTATCTGAACTCCTCTGTGCAGCTGCCCTTCCTCCCTGCCCTCCCCGCCTCTGTTCTCATGGTGTAATCCTGCACGCATCTCTCTCACCGAGTCAAAGTAGAGCAGCAGCCGCCTTCCTTGGATCTCCCAGTGGCTGATGTATTGATCGGGGAGAGTTCGCAGCTAGGAGATCGAGGAAAGAAACAAGGAGGTGAAGCGGCAAGCAGGAGCGTGGAGGTCGTAAGGAGAGCTGGGTCTGGTGCAGCGTTCTGTTCTTGCAGTGGCCAACCGGACACCGCCATGGAAACCCCGAAAGGAGGGCCTGAGGACAGAAGCCCTACTCTCTCCCCACCTGCGATTCCCGCCCACTGGAATTGAAGGCTTGTCCAAAAAGGTTCCCTCTCATCCTGTGCCGCTTTCCCCCCAGGAAAACACACTCTTTAGCACTGAATTGAAGCAGGCCTCAATGTTTGCTCTGCTTCAGCGCTAAAGATCGAGTTTCCCCAGGGGGAAGGTGGCAGGAAAGTCTGCAGGAGCTCTAAGAGGCATAAAATAATAATAATACTAATACTATATTTATACCCCGCCCATCTGGCTGGGTTTCCCCAGCCACTCTGGGCGGCTTCCAACAGAATATTACAATACAATAATCTATTAAACATTAAAAGCTTCCCTAAACAGGGCTGCCTTAGATGTCTTCTAAAAGTCTGGTCGTTGTTTTTCTCTTTGACACCTGGTGATGCCTCCAACATCAGAGAATATGACCATTGTGGCAATAATAATAATAATAATAATAATAATAATAATAGCCATTGAGGCTACTAAGCAGGATAAGGTTCTCATAGCTGAACAGCATCGCCAGAGTCCTTTGTCCTGATGAGGCTCTAGCAGATGAGGCAACTCAGTCAGATGGGCTGGGAATTATTATTATTATTATTACAGCAGACTGAGTGGTGGCCCATAATACTAGGCCGGGCCCAGCCATTTGTTGGAAGGCTGGTGTGCTAATGGACCAGCCTGCACTTGTGCTGATGCATATCTAAAGGCCCCACGGGGAAGGGAACTTGACGGGACTTGGTGGGGTCTTGGCAGGCCTGGACCCTGACCCTTGTCATATGCCAAAATGCCCACACAGCCTCCGCTCACCTCCTCAAGGTAGTTCTCATCCGGATGGAAGCCGCTCAGCAGGGTGATGTCCACGATAACCATGCCAGAGACATGAGCCCCCGGTTGTCTCCTGTAGGGAGGAAAGAATTGAAAACAAAAAGGTTAGGGAAAGGATATTCAGGTAGCGGCAATATTGCACAATGGTTAGAGTGTTCGGCTATAGAGTGTTGGGCTAGCATGCCACTACTGGATCCAGGCAAATACTTGCCTTCCCCTACAAGGCAGTGCTCAAAGAGAGGAAGGGAGTTCTTTCCTCCTCAAAATGGCCCAGTTCTGGTTAGAACCAGAATATTATGCCCGTTCAAGAAAAGTCTGTTCATCAAACCTTACCAGAAGCAGACATTGTAGGTCACCTCCTTCTGCACCTGCCCAGGGTCTTTGGCTTCCCTCCTGCGGCGTCGGCGGGCGTCAAACACTTCGATCGGTGACAACGGCTGGTCGGCGGGGTCTGCTTTCGGCTCAGAATCCTCTAGGCTGTAATCTTCATATTCATAGTAGTAGTCTAATATGTCGGCTGTTGCGGACAGAGTTGAAAAAGGTCAAGATGGTCAAGGGGATGGAGCAAATTCCCTACTGGCAACAGTTGTGGCATTTGGGACATTTGAGTTTAGAGGCGAGTTGACATAATAGAAGTTTATAAAATTATGCAGTGGCTGGAGAAAAGTTCCGCCCTCTTTCGCTCATAACACTTGATGAATGCTGGGAGATTCATGACAGATGTACAGTGGTACCTCAGGTTAAGTACTTAATTCGTTCCAGAGGTCCGTACTTAACCTGAAACTGTTCTTAACCTGAAGCACCACGTTAGCTAATGGGGCCTCCTGCTGCCGCCGCGCAGCTGGAGCATGATTTCTGTTCTCATCCCAAAGCAAAGTTCTTAACCTGAAGCACTATTTCTGGGTTAGCGGAGTCTGTAACCTGAAGCGTATGTAACCTGAAGCGTATGTAACCTGAGGTACCACTGTATATATAAAGCCACTCAAGAAGGCTGTGGATAATTCAACGCCAAAGGCCCGGAGGAAAGAAATTTCTGCCTGGAGCCTAAAGACAAGTAATGAAGGTCCCAGGCGAGCCTCCCTGGGGAGAGCGTCCCCCAATTGAGGAGCCACCACTGATAAGGCCTGCTCTTGCATGGCGGCCCTCCAAACCTCTCGTGGAGCGGGCTCACAGAGAAGGGCCTCAGAGGGCAATAGTGGAGTCCGTGGTGGTTAATGTGGAGAGTGGCGGTCTCCCCAACTGCAGAATCATAGAACTGGAATCTGAAGCCCAGACTTACGTGCACGCTGAAAAGAACCACTCACGTCCACCTGCAGCCCGAGAGTCTGGCACGAAGTGTTTTGCACAGCCAAGACGTGGTATTGCTTCAGGACCTGGAAGGGAACAGAGACAGAAGAGGAGTGCTCCTCCTTGCTCTCAAGCTGTGCACTCGCAGTAACGACATTGGAGTAAAGGTTTGTTCAGAGCCCAGGAGTCACAGCCTAAGGAGGATGAAGCTGACAGGCTTCAGGTAGAAAGTGAGGCAGGGTGGGGGGCTGTAGTCGTAATAGTAGTAGTAGTAGTAGTAGTAGTAGTAATAATAATAATAATAATAATAATGAATTTATTATTTATACCCTTCCTATCTGGTTGGGTTTTCCCAGCCATTCTGGGCAGCTCCCAGCAGAATACAGTGGATGCTTGGGTTGCAAACGTGATCTGTGTGCACATTCGCAACCCGCAGCGGTCACAACCCGTGTCTGCGCACGCATGGTTTGCGATTCGGTGCTTCTGCACATGCACAAAGAGCGATTTAGCATTTCTGTGCATGCATGACCGCCGAAACCCAGAAACCCGTTCTGGTATTTCTGGGTTTTGGAGGTCCGCAACCTGAAAAAACACAACTTGAAGCATCTGTAACCCGAGGTATGACTATATTAAAAATAGAATCAAACATTAAAAACTTCCCTAAACAGGGCTGCCTTCAGATGTCTTCTAGAAATCATAGATAGTTGTTTATTTCCTTGACATCTGAAGGGAGGGCGTTCCACGGGGTGGGTGCCACTACCAAGAAGGCCCTCTGCCTGGTTCCCTGTAACCTCACTTCTCGCAATGAGGGAACCACCAGTAGGCCCTCGGAGCTGGACCTCAAGTGTCCGGGCTGAACAATGGGGGTGGAGATGCTCCTTCAGGTATACTGGACCAAGGCTGTTTAGGGCTTTAAAGGTCAGCAACAACACTTTGAATTGTGCTCGGGAACTTACTGGGGGCCAATGTGGGTCTTTCAGGACCGGTGTTATGTGGTCCCGGCGGCCACTCCCAGTCACCAATCTAGCTGCTGCATTCTGGATTAGTTGCAGTTTCTAGGTCACCTTCAAAGGTAGCCCCACTTAGAGCGCATTGCAGCCCTTCCTGAATATAAAGCTTATACAAATGAGGGAGAAGCAGTTGGTTTTAATTAAAAGCAAAGCAGACAAATGATGAAGCTACTCACGGTTAGAGTCCCTTTCCCCTTCCCTTCCACTTTCAGATGGATGTTACTTCCCATGGAAAACTGAAGGTGGGAGAAAAACGAGGAGGGAAAGTGAATGGCCAGAGCAAATAATACTGTAATACCTACACGGCAACAGCAGCCCCCAGGGTTTGCCTCATGAAGGGGCCTGTGGGACTATGGATTCTGAAGGGATCCCACGAACCACCCCAGGTCAGGCTGATCTGCCCAAATCGAATCAGGCGAGTGTCCGGAATCCTAGTTTGGCAGGAATCCCTACCCCGAACCCTCACCTGAAGTTCTTCCTGGATCGGATCATTCGACCGCCCAAAGGTAAAGGACCTCGGCAAGCTTTTCCCGGGGATCTTGACGGTCACTTTAAGCTCGTTGTCCTCCTCCTCGAAGGAGCTGATCCAATAGCGGGACAGAGCTTCTAGCGCCACCACTGTGTCCTGAAAGGAGAGAGAAGTGGGCCAGTTTATGAGAGTTTGAGTGGGAAAACACAGCCTGCACTGGGCTAGTCCCTGAGAATTTGAGAAATGATGGCCAGCTGCCACAAAGACTACCCTCCGTGCATTCATCAAAGTGCCCTTGAAAGCCACCTGAGCTGGTGGCCATCAATAGTCCCTCCGTTTAGTAAGCAGGGACCAATGGTACCAAATAGTATGGGAAACAGCCCTACTTGAAAAATTAACCAATAAACTGAAACTGACAGGTGTATGGCTCCCCTTTATCACATACACAGCCCTAAAGGCAACGACAAAAATCCACCAACAGCATACAAATCAATATGGCTGTTGTTGTTGTTTAGTCGTTTAGTTGTGTCCGACTCTTCGTGACCCCATGGACCAGAGCACGCCAGGCACTCCTGTCTTCCACTGCCTCCCTCAGTTTGGTCAAACTCATGCTGGTAGCTTCGAGAACACTGCCCAACCATCTCGTCCTCTGTCGTCCTTGTACCCTCCATCTTTCCCAACATCAGGGTCTTTTCCAGGGAGTCTTCTCATTAGGTAGCCAAAGTATTGGAGCCTCAGCTTCAGGATCTGTCCTTCCAGTGAGCACTCAGTGCTGATTTCCTTCAGAATGGATAGGTTTGATCTTCTTGCAGTCCATGGGACTCTCAAGAGTCTCCTCCAGCACGTGATCCAAAACACCCACCCACCCCACTCTCACATGAAAACAACGACCACCACAGCCAACCACAAATGAACAATCACACCCTAAGCCAAACCCAACCTCTCTCACCACCAAAGGAACACAAGTGAACAGCAAAGAACCTGCACAAGCAACGCTGACACCAAACCCTACATATAGTAAGTAAAATAGAAACATCGCCACCCGATCCCACCTATCTTCCCCCCTCTCCACCTCTTTCCCCCTTTTCTTCCTAATGTCTCAACAAATGAAACTGATTTGTAAAAATGTTACATGGGGTGGAAAAATAGGAGATAAGAGACACTTTTGTAAATCAAGAAAATCTTTAATAAAAAAAGTCCCTCCGTTTTGTAAACATGCCCTGCGGGAGACCATACCTGGGTGGATTTGAAGCCTCCCCCATAGTTCCTCTGCTCCGTCAGCCACCGAGCCACCTTGCCTGCTGAGGCAATGTCGTTTTTCTGCAACAGGTAGAGGAGCCCGTATGCGGTGGCCTCCACCGAGATGGCTGAAGCGGGAGGCACCCGGTCAGGTTTCTTCTCATTCTGCAGCCGGTCCTTCTCCACTTCCCAGAACATCATAGTGTTGTCTGGAAGAAGCATGAGAGGTCAGAATGTAGGGGCCATGCAGAGGCGATGTATTGGGGAAGGGGACACACACGCGTGGCCAGGATCTCGTGCGTTAGCTCAGAATCTGAAAGGCCAGAGTTTTATTGGGATTGAGGGCGATTACTTTTGTCCTCCGTAGCGAGACTCTTCAGGCGAACGCCGGAACTCGTGATGGCTGACTGGTCGTCGGAAGCGATCGACAGGGCGTAGCTGGTGATGGCGACAGGGTACGGGCCCAGGGATTGATCTTCTAGCTTGCGGGAAAGGAAGGCAGTCGCCTGAGCCAGGCCGTTTCTCTGGAAAAGAAGGAAAAGCAAATATTGATTGATACGTATTTGAGTGTTTGTAGCTTGCAATTTCCCATAAGAACACAGCAAGGTGGGACATGCAACATTACAGTGATGTCAAGGGAGGAGGGAAGGAAGGAGGTGGGGAGCCTTGCTGCCTGGAAGGGAAAAGGCAGGATCAGCCAGGTGTCAGGTGCCATGAGGGATAGAAACTTGATTGTGTTTTTTCAAAAAAAAAAGTTGAAAATGGAGATTCTGGGCCGGCTGGATTTCCATGTCCAGCATATTACCTGGCTCTCCAGTGGTTTCTTAATATAAGAATAAGAATAAGAATAATAGTCACATAGTTGTTTATCTCTTTGACATCTGATGGGAGGGCGTTCCACAGGGTGGGAGCTACCACCGAGAAGGCCCTCTGCCTGGTTCCCTGTGACCTCACTGCACATATTTTCTGCTTGCCCCGCCGCTGCAGGCTTCCCTTGCTTCTTACCAGTCGGCTCAGCTGTTCCTGCTTCGCTCTTTCCTGCTCTGGATCCGACTCCTCCACTTTGTACACAGCCAAGGCCTCCTGAAGCGCAATGGTGATGTACGCCGTGAGAGAGATGCCTCCATGAAGGCCGCCAACGCCACCCTGGGGAGGAAAGACAAGGGAACGCATGGCTGACGGAGAATCGATTCACCCTTTCCGAGTCGCAATAGAAACCAAAACTCAGCCATCATTTGAAATTTGCACTCACCTGATTTTTGTGATGCAATTCTCCAAACAAAGTTTACAATAATAGTGTGCGTAAAAATGAAGATATTGATGAAATGCATGATATTATGGGGAAAGTGCTTGCAAAAATGTGTACATAAACCAATGTGTTAATTTGGAGAAATTTGCATGAAAACGCTGGTGAGTTTCATTAGGTTTGATTTTTTAATGGTTGCTCAGGAGCTCACCTAAGGCCTTAGGAAGCATCGCTAATAACAAGGCCAGTGGAAGTGATGATATTCCAGCTGAACTATTTAAAATTTTAAAAGATGATGCTGTTAAGGTGCTACACTCAATATGCCAGCAAATTTGGAAAACTCAGCAGTGGCCAGAGGATTGGAGAAGATCAGTCTACATCCCAATCCCAAAGAAGGGAAGTGCCAAAGAATGCTCCAACTACCGCACAATTGCACTCATTTCACACGCTAGCAAGGTTATGCTTAAAATTCTACAAGGAAGGCTCAAGCAGTATGTGGACCAAAAACTCTCAGAAGTGCAAGCTGGATTTCGAAGGGGCAGAGGAACCAGAGACCAAATTGCAAACATGCGCTGGATTATGGAGAAAGCTAGAGAGTTCCAGAAAGACATCTACTTCTGCTTCATTGACTATGCAAAAGCCTTTGACTGCGTCGACCACAGCAAACTATGGCAAGTTCTTAAAGAAATGGGAGTGCCTGATCACCTCATCTGTCTCCTGAGAAATCTCTATGTGGGACAAGAAGCTACAGTTAGAACTGGATATGGAACAACTGATTGGTTCAAAATTGGGAAAGGAGTACGACAAGGCTGTATTTTGTCCCCCTGCTTATTTAACTTATATGCAGAATACATCATGCGAAAGGCTGGGCTGGATGAATCCCAAGCTGGAATTAAGATCGCCGGAAGAAATATCAACAACCTCAGATATGCAGATGACACAACCTTGATGGCAGAAAGTGAGGAGGAATTAAAGAACCTTTTATTGAGGGTGAAAGAGGAGAGGGCAAAATATGTCTGAAGCGCAACATCAAAAAAACGAAGATTATGGCCACTGGTCCCATCACCTCCTGGCAAATAGAAGGGGAAGAAATGGAGGCAGTGAGAGATTTTATTTTCTTGGGCTCCATGATCACTGCAGATGGTGACAGCAGCAACGAAATTAAAAGAGGCCTGCTTCTTGGGAGAAATGCGATGGCAAATCTAGACAACATCTTAAAAAGTAGAGACATCGCCTTACAACAAAGGTCCGTATAGTTAAAGCCATGGTTTTCCCCAGTAGTGATGTATGGAAGTGAGAGCTGGACCATAAAGAAGGCTGATCGCCGAAGAATTGATGCTTTTGAATTATGGTGCTGGAGGAGACTCTTGAGAGTCCCATGGACTGCAAGAAGATCAAACCGATCCATTCTTAAGGAATTCAGACCTGAGTGCTCACTGGAAGGACAGATCGTGAAGTTGAGGCTCCAATACTTTGGCCACCTCATGAGAAGAGAAGACTCCCTGGAAAGGACCCTGATGTTGGGAAAGATGGAGGGCACAAGGAGAAGGGGACGACAGAGGATGAGATGGTTGGATAGTGTTCTTGAAGCTACAAACACGAGCCTGACCAAACTGCGGGAGGCAGTGGAAGACAGGAGTGCCTGGCGTGCTCTGGTCCATGGGTCACGAAGAGTCAGACACGACTAAACGACTGAACAACAACAAACAGGAGCTCACCTGCATCTCCCGATGATAGACAGGATGTGGGTCTTCGAAGGAACCATCCTCTTTTTGCTTATTCAGCAGCCACTGCACCGTCTCACGGATCTTGGCCTCATCCACCTCTTGGTACTCGTGGCTCAGAGTCAAAACCTTTGTCACGAAAGCCGTCAACCTGGAGGGAAGGAGAGTCGGAGGACAGGCGAATAATCAGACACAGGTGTGGAGATTGTGTGTGCATGCACATCTGATTGTGTGTGCATGCGCATCCAGGGCCCTTAATGGGAGCTGGTATTTAAAAAGGAGGCACTGAACATGGCTGCAGGGACTGCTCTGCTGACTTGGGGTGCCTCCAAGCGGTCAGCATTAAATTGGAGGTTTTCAAGCACATACCATAAAACTCAGAGGCCACAACATTCCTTTTGATGCTGCTAGATCAGTCACAAGCAACTAATGCTGTTACGAAAGACAGGTGCCTGCCCCTCTCTCTGCCGAGCAGTCATAGCTGTCAACATTTCCCTTTTCTTGCGAGGAATCCTATTCAGAATAAGGGAACTTCCCTTTAAAAAAGGGAAACTTTGACAGCTATGTGAGCGGTGGCAAGAGCCCATGGCGTCCCAGGCACACACACAGGATCTGTGTCCCTTTGGAGAATAGAAGACACGGTGGAGACTGTAGTGCTTTAAGAAATAGGGTTCATTCACCCACCTAAACCTTCAGTCTGCATGGAAGGAGTCCAGATCTTATGGCATGGCCCAAAAAGCATTGCAGGCAACCTTGGATCTCAGCCCTGCTTCCTCCCAGAAACCCCTGCTTCAAGCCTCCTTTTTCCTGTCCCCTCAAACACACACTCCATCACCTTGGTAACAGGGTGCTAAAGGATTCCTCGCCTCAAAGGCCCTTCAACACCTTTTTGTAACTGCTCTTCTCCCCACAGGCAGCCAGACTGGTTTGCATAAGCCAGCCCATGATTTCCCTGAATTCCCTGCCTGGCATAGTTCTGCACTTTCATCCATATCCCAATTAATCAAAAATCCTAACGTTAACAATGAATCGTTTTACCCACATGTATGACAATACGGTTTGTGCCTGCAAGTGCTTGGGGGCTGCCACACCACCTCCTTTCCAGTGTACCTGAAGGAGCGACTCCACCCCCATCGTTCTACCCAGACGCTGAGGTCCAGCACCGAGAGCCTTCTGGCGGTTCCCTCATTGCGAGAAGTGAGGTTACAGGGAACCAGGCAGAGGGCCTTCTCGGTAGTGGCACCCGCCCTGTGCAACACCCTCCCATCAGATGCCAAAGAGATAAACAACTATCTGACATTTAGAAGACATGCGAAGGCAGCCCTGTTCAGGGAAGTTTTTAATGTGTGACATTTTGATGTATTTTTAATCCTTGTTGGAAGCCACCCAGAGTGGCTGGGGAAACCTAGCTAGATGGGCGGGGGTACAAATAATAAATTATTATTATTATTATTATTATTATTATTATTATTATTATTATTATTAGAGCGCATGGCGTAACTTCCTGTCAAGGTTTCAAAACTTTTCGCGCCCCCCTGCTTTTGTTGAGCTTTAGCCCCTCCAGGCTGCACTGGAGGAAGCCTTGTGATAGAATTAACAATATAGAATATATCCACCACTGAGGAGCTGTCACTGTGCCACATTGCAAAACACACCTGCAGTGGAACATCCGTGTGAAGGGGCCCCTGGTTTTCTGCAATAAGAGTGGCTTGCTGCGTCGCCCCCTAGGCAACAACTCTGACGAGTTCAGGGGGGAGCAAGCGGTCTGCGAGAAACTGAGGGGGCGGCAGGGCCGAAGCTATACATGTGTGGACCTGAATACTCCCCCCCCCCAAAGATGGGATATTGCTTCTCCTTTAAATAATAATCCAGAATGCGGCAGCTAGACTGGTGACTGGGAGCGGCCGCCGAGACCATATAAAGCTGGTCTTGAAAGATCTACACTGGCTCCCAGTACATTTCCAAGCACAATTCAATGTGTTGGTGCTGACCTTTAAAGCCCTAAATGGCCTCGGTCCTGTATACCTGAAGGAGAGTCTCCACCCCCATTGTTCTGCCCAGACAATGAGGTCCAGCGCTGAGGGCCTTCTGGTGGTTCCCTCATTGCGAGAAGTCAAGTTACAGAGAACCAGGCAGAAGAGGGCCTTCTCGGTGGTGGCACCCACCCTGTGGAACACCCTCTCACCAGATGTCAAAGAGAAGAACAACTACCAGACTTTCAGAAGATATCTGAAGGCAGCCCTGTTTAGGGAAGCTTTTAATGTTTAATAGATTATTGCATTTTAATATTCTGTTGAAAGCTGCGCAGAGTGGCTGTGGAAACCCAGCCAGATGGGCGGGGTATAAATTTATTATTATTATTATTATTATTATTATTATTATTATTATTATTATTATTATTATTATCTGAGCAACAGGGCAGGCCTAATGCAGCAAATCCACTTAAAAAAAAAAGGACTGGACTTTTTTGTGATTTGAAAAGTGACAGGGAAAGGCCTTGAAAATAAAGGGATGAGGGGGTGAATAATGGGAAGACATGTAAAACACCTTGCAAAGCAAGCAGAATGCAGGACAAATGCCCACTGCCATAAACAGACAGAGCTAAGGCCAAATGAAGACCAGATATGACCTAACCACGCAGTGCAAGGGGATTGGGATAAAGATTGATTAAGCAGTTCTAGTTTGGCACCATCCCAATACTCGCACCCAGAACCTCTCCTCCCGCCTCCTTCGCAGCGCTGAGTCTCACCAGACACTGCTGGGGTGGGTGATCCAAGCTCCGTAGGACCCGTCTGTCTTCCGGAATGTGAGGATCCGCTCATAGCCTGCAGTGCAAAAGGCAAGAGAACCCCACATCTATCATGGCTGCTTTGCTTCCTCTCTGCAAAACGTCCATAAGGATTTCCTCGTTTTAGATTTATTTTTGGCGGCATAGGGGTAAAGGAAGAAACAGGCCAGGATCCTTCAGGGGCCATGCGTGAGTGAAGGCAGATCCTTAAAATGAACAAATGGATGCTGATTAAGTGGGAGATCCTCAACTGATCCATGCTCTAGGGAAGTCTTTCTGAGCTGGAGGCCAAGGCCAAATGGTCCTCCTACTTCCCTGCCCCCACCCCCCAAATTGGCCTGCTCCAATTGGCACATGGAGATGGACTGCAAGGCAGGATGGGGAGGTGGAGTTGTGGCGTCACAGGCACCAGCCAATCAGTGCTGCTGCCTCTTTGGGCTACTGAGCTGTTAGCTAAGAATGAACGTGGCCAGTCTGTTTATATATAATTTTATGCTTTTCCTGTTGAAAATTGCAGGTGTGTAAATTACCGGGGCGTGTGCAGTAATTTGTAAGTTAATACAGTTTTCCCAGCATGCATCATGGCCCATCACCTGAACGGAGGTTTTCCAGCGCTTTTTCCTTGCTCTCTGGTTTCAGGTGCAGCCACTGCTCTGTCTTGTCCAGGTACTGCATGGCATAGACTCCGGGGGCCAGCAGGACCATGGTTTGCTCCCCACATCCCTGGGGAACCCTCAGCAGAGACGAGAGGCCATCCGGGGTCAGGGAGCTCTGAAGGACGTCAGCAGGCACGGAGCCTGGTGGCCCAAGGCAAAACAATGGTTCAGAACACGGCATGGGCCAGCGAGGGAAAACAACAAAACTACTTCCCATCTTCCCCCTACCACAACCCCGGCCAACTGTTATGCTTTTAAAACAATGTTTGCACAAGGCCCGGGCCGCAGCAACACAGTCCATTTAAAGCACTGTGGCACCACCTTGAACTGTCATGGCTTCCTGCAAAGGATTGTGGGAGGTGCAGTTTGCTAAAGGAGCTGTTAGGAGACTATTCCTCTCCCAAATTTCCCTGTGAATAATTGATTGTTAAGCGATGCTAGGAACTGTAGCTCTGGGAGGGGAACAGGGGTCTCCCTTAACAAATAGAAAAATAGGTATTATTATTATTATTATTATTATTATTATTAGTTTGTTTAAGGTGCTGATAATTCTCTGTTGGAGACCCACAGCGTCCCCTGCTCGATTGATTCAAACCAGTTTAATCTGCCATGCCAGTGTGCCGCTACAACCTGGAAATCTTTTAAATGCCAGATGGAGAATAAGTGAAACTAAAGGAAGGTTTGGCATCGAGATTCCTGTATCGCAAGGGCTTCCAACTCTACAATTCTATTATTCCCTCTCTGGCTTGTTCCTTGCACCTGTCAAACGGACGCTCATCTTGAAGTCGCTGCCGGGAATGGCGTTGGAGGGAATCTCGCCTGAAATCTCCACCGTTCTGGTGCGCCCATCTGTCTCGAACGGGGGGGGGGGGGGGAAAGAAGGGAAAACATTTAGCTTCTCACCACTCCAAGCCAACAGCTTCTGCAGCCCTTCCGAATAATTTAGGGATCTGGGATTCATAGCCTCCCCCCTTTGCCAGCACAGACTACCATGGTCTGTCTACTTCCTGGGAACATCAGGCAGCCTCCCCAAAAAGCCTGTTTGAAATTTCCTTACAGCAGCTAAGTTCCTGTACGTAAAGAATGTGAGAAGAGCTCTGTAGCAGGATCAGGCCATGGGCCCATCATAATGTAGCACCCTGTTCTGACAGTGGCAACCCCAGACGCATTTTGGGTAGCCCTATAATGGAACAGTGACACTCCTCATGTTCTAGCTCACAAGACGTCTCTAATCCTTTCCAATAGCGAAGCATTCGGATGATCCTAGATGTAATAAATCATAATAATTTGGGAGATTGCCACTATACACTATACACATAAGCCCTTTGTAGCTTAGGGCCCTTGTGTCTACGGGACTGCCTCTCCTAGTATGCCCCGCAGAGGACCTTAAGGTCCATGAATAACCATAGTTTAGAGAGCGTGGGCCCTAAGGAAGTCAGACAATCCTCCACCAGGGCCAGGGCCTTTTCAGTGATGGCTCCGACCTGGTGGAATGCTCTGTCCCATGAGACCAGGGCCCTTCAGGATTTAACCTCCTTCCATCGGGCCTGTAAGACAGAGCTATTCCACCTGGCCTTTAATTTGAATTCAGCCTGATCTTTTGTTTCCCTTCTCTACCCTCCCCCTCCCCTTTTATGAAGATCACCCGCTCTGAGACCCCACAGCTAATTCTCCCCTGGCCTCCTTGCTGGCCCAAGTAGGACCAATTCAGCCAGCTAGCCCTGGAGATTATCTCATACTTATTTCCCCTAAATTGATTTTTGAATTTTGAATTTTATTGTTAATCACATTTTGATACTGTATTTTATGCTGCTTTTATAATTAAGTGTTTAAAATTTGTTGTTAGCCACCCTGAGCCCGGTTTTTGAACCGGGAAGGGCGGGGTATAAATAAAAAATTATTATTATTACTATTATACTGCGTATTCTACCCTCCAAATACAGGCAGGCAAGAGTGCAGGCTCTCTGCTCACAAGCTCCCATCTTCCAAACCACAAGTGCAAGAAATATCATCAATGCTGGAAGGGACTCTTGAATACTAGCCATGCTGGCGGGGGGGTGGCACATCTGGAGGGTCTCAGGTGCCCCCTCCTTATCTGACTTCTCTTTTGAGGTTGGGGGTTTCTTTTTACTTTCTCCATTTTTTTAAAGGATGCTCACCTGCTATCAACCTACGGGTGACAGGGGGATATAACCCATGTAATGCTTTGGGTGTGGTGTATGTATGCGTGTTCCGTATTTAAACGCCAAGAGTTGTTTATGCATCACCCACCCTCAGGAACTGGGTTTCAGATCTGTGTCCAAGTCTCCTACCTTTACTATCCAGGGAAACGGAATATTCCTCCACCTGGACGGCACCCTCTTTCTGCAAATGAAGAAGAATTGGAATAACGCTAAGAGGACCTGGAATTTAATTTAATTGGAAGTATAATTGCTCATTTATCTTCAGTTGGACGGAAGAATGAAAGGAGTCTGTGAACTTGCCAAGCAACTGATAAGGTTCATTATTGAGTCATCTGCAATTCGACAGACCACTCCTCTTCCCAGGCTGAGAGGGGAAATGGTGAAAACAGGTTATTCACTGGGACAGAGGGATTTTTGCAGCTGTTGTTAAAGTTGCTAAACAACAGAGAAATGGAGAAATTTCTGAAACAACCATGGGATATCAGCTTCGCCCAAGACATGATGGAAAACAGCAACAGCAGGGGGAAAAAAGGACATAACATCTTATGAGGACAGGAAGAAATACCACAGAAAGAATCATTGCCACACACAGGAAGAACAAGGATATAGTTTGAGTTCCTCACTTGTAGTTCTATAAATCATTTAACGTGTCAACACGAATAGAAGTTATTAATATTGCAGTTGCTGAATAAGGGGTTATTATTATTTTGACTGGAATGTAATGGAAATTAAATAAGATTTTGGAACGCAGAAATAAAGCAAATAATCAAGCCATCAATTCTAGCACATGGGGGACCACCTTATCTAAATTATATAATTAGGTTTTTGAACTATTGGAATTGTATTATAAATGGGTATTATTATAATGAGGTTATTATTCAATTGTAATTGAAAACTAGTAAAATTATCAAAAAATGAAGAAGACTTGGGTGCATGTCACCATAAGAGCCAGAGTGGGACAGCTGGCTGGTCTCCAGCGTGGAAAATCCAACTCTGAATCCTTGCCTAGCCATGAAGTTCCTTGGAAAGCCTGAGGACAGAATCTCTTCTTACCTCCCCCAACCAAACCGTCAGGTGTTGTTTATGGCCCGATCTGTGGAACGCCTTCCCATCAGATGTCAAGGAAATAAACAACTATGTGACTTTTAGAAAACATCTGAAGGCAGCCCTGTTTAGGGAAGCTTTTAATGTCTGATGTTTTATTGTATTTTTAATATTCTGTTGGAAGCCGCCCAGAGTAGCTGGGGAAACCCAGATGGGTGGAGGTATAAATAATAATAAATAATAATATGGCAACTACTCTATTCCGAACTTAAAAAATGGAAAGCGTAATGCTGGTGGTCAACAAAAGAGGTTTAAAGGCTGTCTCAAGACAAATCTAAAAAAATGTAGTATAAATACTGACAACTGGGAAACACTGGCCTGCTAGCGCTCCAGTTGGAGAAAGCCACTCCCGACATAAGGAGGGGGGGTTGTCGGCTCACGCCCACCAACATCCGCACGGGGCTGGCTGCGGCCCCGCGCGACCTGGGGAATCCTCAGGCCGCGTCAACCCCAGGGCCAGCCAATCGGCTGGCTGCAGGGGCGGGGCTTGGGTCACTTAAGGTCGGCGCAGCCCGAGATCGCCCCTTTCTTACCTGTAACCAATAAAGTTGTGGCCATTTTTCGCCCATTAACCAAAAATTTTGGTGTCCTGTCTCTTTATTTATTCCAACTGGTGGGAGGCGGGAATCGCCACGCAACAGCCTTTACCAAAGGTGTCATGGGCTTTGAAGACACTTGAACTCAGGACTCAAGGGAGAAACAGGCTAAGAGGAAGGTGCACTTGGAAAACCCTCACCGTGATCAACTCCCACCTGGAAACCAATGTCCCCACAGTGGAAGGACGTGTGGGTCCAGAATTGGCCTCCAGCATCATTTACGAACACCCGGTTAAAACCGTGTTCATGGAAGACAATCTTACTTGGCTGCGATTGATAGAAGAAGAAGAAGAAGAAGAAGAAGAAGAAGAAGAAGAAGAAGAAGAAGAAGAAGGTGGTGGTGGTGGTGGTCTTGGGAGCAGAAAAACATTCCCTGTGATGAAAGGCCTCTTACCTCGACCCTCAGCTTCTTGGAGACTTTGTCCCCTCCCCCGAAGCCACCAAGGGCGACGACCGTGATGGGGATATCGGCCGCTCCCATGGGAACCAACACGAAGGGGACGGGGACCGCAGAGTTCCCGGGCACCTCCACCCGCTGCTTCCGTGCTGGGCCTACAGTGGCAGGAGAGCAGAGGCCGTCATGGGGCTCCAGGTATACTGACACCTAGAAAGGGGACAAAAGAAAGAATCAGGAGGCAGAAGAATCCGATCAAGCAGCATTCAACTGAGTTATTTTTACTCAGGGCTGACCTGCCGAAACTGACACGCCTTGCTTTTCGGTGGGTTTGCTCCAAGTAAAAATTAATTGAATAGACTGTGGATGCACAGGTGGAGTTTATTTTATTTTTTCAAATATAGATTCTGAAAGGTGTGTGCACGGCCTGCTTTCCTTTCTGGTAAACAGGTTTCGCAAGTTTCAGTACCGTTTCGAAAACCTGCAATGCCTATTTTGGCGGGATGGCAGAAATAAATAAAATGAACCACAGCCAATACAGGCAGTGCCGCCTCCTGATTGGTTGAAAGTAAGAAGGCAGGCAGGTGGGAGCAAGCAGAGGTTGGTGGGGCAGTGATCCTTTTGCCTCAATGCTTAGCAGCCACAAGCCTTTCTTATTTGCTCTCTCCAGCTATTTCATTGCAATGCCTGCCCAGAAATCGTCTGTGGAACCGGCTCCACTCTTTCTGTTCCTGCCTCATGCTATTTGCCTTGGCTTTTTTGGGCTGACAGCAGTTCCCAGGGACTCACATAGGAAGCTGTCAGGTCACCTCAGTGTTGTCTGCACTGTCTGGCATCAGTTCTCCTGGGTTTCCAGACAGGGTATGGTCACAGTCCCTAGCCATAGCTGTCAAGTGTCCCTTATTTGAAGGGACAGTCCCTTATTCCAGCGCCATGTCCCGCTACTGTCCCTTACTGATGGATGTCCCTTAAATGGCCCTTAAATGATGTCCCTTAAATTTCAAAGGAAGCAGCTCCTCTCCCTCCCTCCCTCTCTGCCGGCCAGGGAGGAGGGAGGCTCCAACTGTGTTGCTTGGCTGTGTTGCTTACCCAATAAGGAGTCTAAGAACGACTGGGGGGTGGAGCTTGCATGCCTTGTGTGTGGCTAGTTAATGCAAGCTGAGGGGGTTTTTGAATGCAGGACGCCATTTTGTTGCACGTGCTGCTGCAAACTTTGCAGTGCAAAGCCAGGCCGGGGAGCCATCTTAAGTTGAGGCTGCATAGGCCTTGTGGTGCATGTGATTCAGATTCTATTCAGTTGAACCTCTGGTTACAAAGTTGGTTGGACAGTGTTCTCGAAGCAACCAGCATGAGTTTGACCAGACTGCAGGAGGACAGGAAGACTGGAGTGTCTGGAACAGGTGAGGCTGCAGGTCCCTTATTTTGGCTGCTGGTCCCTTATTTTCAAGGCTGCTGGTCCCTTATTTTCAAATCTGTAAGTTGACAGCTATGTCCCTAGCAGAGGCGCTAGGTAGTGGACCAGGAGCCTTCTGCGCCCAAAGCAGGTGACCTGTGCAGACACAGGATCAGCGGAAGGGAGAGGAGATTGTGGGGGCTTTGCTTACGCTGATGGGCTCAGGCTGGTAGTTGTAGAGAACCGGCTGAAGCTCGATCTGTTCAAACTGCTTCACTGAGTAGGGCAGCCGGAGAGAGATGTGGAAGTTCTGGAAGACTCTGACCCGAACGGGTTCTGAGACGCAGATGCCTGAGAGAACGAGAACGAATGAGCCCCCAGTGAAGGAGGAGGGAGGGAGAGAAATATGGGCAGCCGGAAAACCGGAGGGAATGGCATTTCCTAGTTGTATTTTTTTGCAGGAGACATGGGATTAAGAAAATATCAAAATAGCAACACAGACTTCCAGAACTGAGCTGAAACTGCCATCTTGCTGGCAGGTCCCCGGCACAGATATTATTTTGTCATTGTCCTTATTATTAATTGCTCGCACTGGGACCCTAAGGTGTGTATTTTCCGAATGCAAATCAAAGTGTTGGTGCTTACCTTTAGAGCCCTAAATGGCCTTGGACCAGTATCCCTGAAGGAGCGTCTCCACCCCCATCATTCAGCCTGGACACTGAGGTCCAGCACTGAGGGCCTTCTGACGGTTTCCTCACTGCAAGAAGTGAGGTTACAAGGAGCCAGGCAGAGGGCCTTCTTGGTAGTGGCACCCACCTTGTGGAATGCCTTCCCATCAGATGTCAAGGAAATAAACAACTATCTGACTTTTAGAAGACATCTGAAGGCAGCCCTGTTTAGGGAAGTTCTTAATGTTTGGTGTTCTATCCTGTTTTTAATATTCTGTTGGGAGCTGCCCAGAGTGGCTGGGTAAATCCAGCCAGATAGGCGGGGTGTAAATAATAAATTTTTATTTTTATTTTTGTTTTTATTTAAGTAGGTTCTAAAAATATATACCTCAAGGTAAAGAGGTGTGCTTTCCACATTCGCCAAAAGCTGTATAATGAAGGTGCCAAGCCTTCTCCTGGATGACTCACTCTACCCACAGAATTCAAGGGCACAACTCCTACTTGCCTACCATTGGCTGCCACCCTGTATGAATATGTTCAATTTGTGCCACGTGCGATGCCATGTACACTTGAAAATCCACCTCTGAAGCTTTACTGAGGTGCCTGTCGATCAAGGAGGCAAGACTGGTGAGCACACAAGAGCGGGTCCTTTTTGGTGGTGGCTGCACCATTGCTGAATGCAATTTCATTGGACATTTGGCAGGCCCTGAGAATTGTGGCTTTTAAAAAGGCCTTAAAGATTCATTTCTTTACTGGAGTCTTCAGTTAATGAAAGAGATTTGAGCTTCATGATTACTATTTTGGCTCGATTTGGACAGTTTTTTGAATGCTGTAACTCGATAGTGTGACCTGGGAGTTTGATGGGTGTTGGTGTGGGTGTGGCTGGAATGTGGTTTGTTTGGTTGTTGTTGTTGTTTTGCTTTTGTTGTTTTAAGGGATGGCATCCAATTTCGTTGCACTTTGTGCAATGTTGCACTTGTGTAATGACAATAAAGAATCTATTCTATTCTATTCTATTCTATTCTATATTTTGCTGGCATTATGCTGGCTTTTGGGTGTTTAGTACTGTTTGCAATGCTGTTTTGTTTAGTTATAATGTTTTGTTAAAAGTCTATTTCATTGCATGCTGATATCAGATATCAGATTTGAGAAGACATGCCATTTGTAGAAAGCAGTAAATAATAATATAGGCAGAATGGGTAAGGTGTTATGATGGGTTTGTGTAGTCAGTTGAATGAAAATGGATGAATTAAACTCTAAAAGGGATAAATGAGTATTTAAGGTACCAGCAGCTAGAGAGTACAGTGTTTTGGTCCAAGAAATACATAAATGCCCAGCTCACCATTCGTATTAGACATGCTAACAGCCTGGATCTCCCAGGTGGTGATGGAATCAGGAAGAATCACGTTTGTCCTGTGGGAGACAGAAATGGGGCCTAAATATACCGTGAGAGGCAGGAAGGGACCAACATGGCGGAAGAGAAAGTTTGAACCAAGCCTCAGGGCGCTGCCCAGTCATCTTAGACCTAACACATCCACACAATGTATTATTCTACTCATGGAGATTCCTGGGAACTACAGCATGTAAAATGATGTCAGGAACTGTAGCACTGCAAAAGAGCTATATTTCCCCAAATTCTTTTGGGAATTATAGGGATAGAGCTACCTAAACTGAATAGCAACTTATTCATGTATGCAACTACAGCGGCAAGAATGTTGCTCGCCCCAAAATGGAAAGAAGCAGAAGTCCCAGCAATAGAAGAATGGATAGATAATCTAATGGAGTATGCAGAAATGGCAAAATTTACCAGAAGAATAAGAAATCAAGACAACAAACTTTATAAAAGAATGGAAATGGTTCGTTGAGTATTTACAGATAAACTGTAAACAGATAAGAACATTGGCGGGATTATTGTAATAACCTGCAGTTTCATAAGTATATATTTAAAGAAGATGAATAAATGAACAAATTAAGTTAATTTGGATATGCAGAAGATATTAAAAATAAATGTAAGGAACTGCAGAAAGAGGAGGAAGTCAAGTTTTGAAAGGATAAAATGATTGTAAATTAGTGAAATGTATAAACCTGAAAAGCATAAATAAAATAATTAAAAAAGGAACTGTAGTTCTGCAAGGTCAGCAAACCAGTAGTTTCGGGGGTCACGCCACAACAGCTACCGTGGGAGTCAGAATTCATTGCTGATCTACTGCAAATCACCCAGAGATCTATCAGCAGATCCTGGTCTTCTGTCTACCTACCTCCTGTTCCCAGGATGCCTTGAGGCCCAGCTCTCTGACCTACTTACGTGAAGGTCCGCTCCACATCGTACGATTTCCAGAGCCAGCTCTCGGGGAAGACGCTCCGCAACTGAATGAACTCCTCATCGAATAAGTCGTCTTCCAGATCCTGGGTTTGTGCTGCACGGAAAGAGGAGGTTCCATGTTGAGAGCTGGGCTGAGGGATAGAGTTTGTACCCCTTCTCTGCCTTCCCTTCTCCTAAAGAAATCTCACAAGGCAGCAGAGGTTTTGGATCAGAGACTTCCTTCTCCTAGATGGGCTACTTTCTCAGGTGGATGAGCCCCATCTGCCCCTACGAGAAACTTTGATACAGTGATTCCTCAGGTTAAGAACTTAATTTGTTCTGGAGATCTGTTCTTAACCTGAAACTGTACTTAACCTGAAGCACCACTTTAGCTAATGGGGCCTCTCGCTGCTGCTGTGCCGCCAGAGCACAATTTCTGTTCTTGTCCTGAAGCAAAGTTCTTAACCCGAGGTACTATTTCTGGGTTAGAGTCTGTAACCTGAAGTGTATGTAACCTGAAGTGTATGTAACCCGAGGTACCACTGTAATATGGCACTCTGAGCGAGGCCACAATTTTGCAACCCCGAAGTGGGTCTTCTCAGTTATCAATCTTCTCAATTTTGTGCACGCCCCCCCCAGTTCAGTGCCTTGTGTGGGGGAACTGCCCGTGCCACCCTAAATCTGGCACTGCAGGCTCCCAATCTCTCGACTCACTCCGCCCAAGGCTGTGGGATCCCCAGGATTTTCGCCGTAGGCCAGCAGCAACTTTGCAGCAATCAAGGAAGGCTTGGCGACACTGCTGGGAGTCTGGGCCCTGGATCCGCTTGGCACGGTCCTCGCACGTCAGCTTCTGGCGCAGCAGCACCATGCCCCCTGGCAACACCGCCGAAGCTCAGGGGTTTGGTACTTGGAAACTGCAGAGAGGAAAGGAGGATCAAAAAGCGAATGAATGAGTGGATGGGAAAGGAAAGTCAGGAGGTGGGGGGGCCGGGAGAGAGAGAAACCAAAATAAACGCAGTCACTTTCCCACCGTGAGGTTCAGGACCTCTTTCACATTATTGCAAGGACAGAGGGGTGGTACGTGGGAAGGAAACCGAGGAGGAACTGATCTGTGTGCTCCAAAGCTAAGCATTTAAAGGTAAAGGGACCTCTGGCCATTAGGTCCAGTCGTGGCCGACTCTGGGGTTGCGGCGCTCATCTCGCTTTACTGGCCAAGGGAGCCGGCATACAGCTTCCGGGTCATGTGGCCAGCATGACTAAGCCGCTCCTGACGAACCAGAGCAGCGCACAGAAACGCCGTTTACCTTCCTGCCGGAGCGGTACCTATTTATCTTCTTGCACTCTGATGTGCTTTCAAACTGCTAGGTTGGCAGGAGCAGGGACCGAGCAACGGGAGCTCACCCATTGTGGGGATTCGAACCGCCAACCTTCTGAACGGCAAGTCCTAGGCTCTGTGTTTTAACCCACAGCGCCACTGCGCTGAAAAGACACATGGTGCTTCGTTTTCAAGAGAATGCCATGCAAGTTCTGTTATGTACAGCAGAACTTGACGGGAAGCACAAGCCCTCCAAACCATTTGCCCAGTGCAGAAAACAGTAGAACTAGCTGAAAGGCAACATATGGAGATCTACATCAATGGTTGCAGCACACCCCAAATTATAATTCTTGCACAATTATGGTATTATTGTACAATCTTAGAAGGTTGCATCATCTTGGAAGGGTGTGTGGCTGTGACTGATGGATGTCAGACTGACTGATGGGTGTCAGATCCACAAACGACATTAGGGAGTTGCTGGTCTTAACTGTGTTGTTATAACAGTTGTCACTTTAAGAAACTTGTGCTTTCTTTTCCCTCCTCCCTCCCCTTTCTTTTTCCTCGTGTGTCGTGTCTTTTTCGACTGTAAGCTTTTCTGATCTTCACTCCGAGTGCCCCTTTGGCTAAATAAATGGACAATGAATAAACAATAGCAAACACATGATTAAAAAATACCAGGGAGAGCGTTTCAAAGGTGTCAGAGTGTGTGCCTCAGTTGAATCTGACTTCAGCGCTGGCAATGGGGCAGCATCTTCTGCCACACCTGAGGAGAGTAGACTGGCATTGGGGCACAGGACTGGCCACATGGGGGACACAAAGCTCTGTCTCCAACACCTTGCCACTACTCTCTGCCCTCCTGCATCTGCCACCTGAGGCAGCCGCTTCATTATGCCTCAAAGTAGAGCCGGCCCTGGAGGCGTCCTCCATTTCCCACCCCCTCAGGGTTATCGCCCCTCTTCCCTCGCGCCACTTACGCTTCTTTTGGAGCTCTTTGTGGAACTCCAGTGAACGCTTCTTCCGGGAAGCATCGGTGCTGCATCCATGTGCTAGAAGAACAGAAAGAACAAGGTGCTAATGGGAATTGTAGGTGCCGAAATTCCAAGGGAGCAGAAAAGACTTTTTATGTATGCAATGACAGCTGTGCGGATGCTGTTAGCTCAGAGATGGGAAGAAGATAAAGTCCCTACCAGAAAAGAATGGCAAATGAAGCTATTGGATTATGCCGAAATGGCAAAACTGACCAGAAAGCTCAGGAAAGCCACTTCCGCCTAAGCAGGAGGTGGGGTTGCGGGCTTCACTGCCCCTCCCACGTGCACGGCGGGCGGAAGCCAGCCCTGTGTGATTGGGTCGATTCCTCGCCGTGTCATCCCCTGACCAGCCAATCAGCTGCCTCGGGGGCGTGGCCTGCCCTATTTAAGGCAGGACGCGGCCAGGGATCTCCCTCTTTGCCGCCCATCAGCTGTTCCTGCTTTTCCTACCCTCCTGCCCTATAAGGTTTTCATTCCTTGACCTTGCTATGGACTGTGGTTGGTCGCCGTTGAGGGGCCTGGTAGGAATTTTCCACTTGGCAAATTGGCACCAGCCACTTGGTTTTTGCCTACCTCGTAGCAAATCGTCACAACTTTCTGGGTATTGGCGGTTAGGCATTGGTATTGTTTTGTAGATGGAAGAGGGGAGGTAGCGCCATCACCTGCCCCACATATTGAAGGGTAGTCCGTTAAAGGATTCCGGGGGGCGTGGCCCTGTCCGAAGCCTAGGGAGGTAAGCGCCTAAGGCACGCCCCCAATCGGTGACCCCGGGGGAGTTCCTAGCTGATGTGCATCAGCAGGACTCCCCCTACTGGTGGTTAACCCTTCCTGGACTTCGAGCAGACGGGCTGGAGTCGGATATAGTCGGTTAGGACCAATGCCTAAGCCAATACCGCTCTTCACCTGTAACCAATAAAGTTGTGGCCTTTTATTTAGCCCATTAACCTTAATAATTGTGTCATGTGTCATTATTTCCACCTGGGGGGCTCAGGAACTAACCACGCAACCAGAAAGACCCAAACTTTCATATGGAATGGGGAAAATTTGCAATTTTCCTTAAAGACCACTGTAAGCAGCTGAAAACATTAGCAGGACTGCAAAAACACTTCTAATGTAACGAGAACCATGGATACAATGGAATTATAGAAAACTTGGCTTATCTAAAAAAAGATGCAGTAGAAAAGGTTTAATAAAAGAACCCATGGAGGTGGGAAGTCCAGAGATTGGAGGGAATCTTGTCATTTCGGATGTGTTGTGGTGTGAATATAAACTGAAATATGTAAAACCAAATAAACATTATGTAAAAAAGAAAGAACAAGGTGCAATGGTAGAAATGAGATGTAAGTGCGTCAGTCAACAATGCTCCCCGCTCCCCCAAACTCCCTCTCTGACCACATCCTTGTTTTGTGCTCCTCCTAACAAACTCACCTTTCCGGAGGGGGCTCATCAGCTCACCAGCCCGAATGGAGAGTCCGGCATCCCCAAAAACGCTGAGGGTGTTTTCCCCACTGCCGGCCGTGCAGCCCAGGTCATAGCTCCCCATGGCCTGGAAGACCTGTTTTCCAGAAAGAAAGGATTACAGAGATGGGTCAGTGCAACAGTGCACATGATCCAAGCGTGCAAGGAATCAGTCCTTCAGTGCGGCGGCAGCACTGACACTGGGCAGGTGCGTTTGCTGTCCTGGTCTCCCTGCCTGCTCAAAACTTTTTTGTCTAAGCAAGCCTAACCTGACACTGTAAATTTGGTGTGTATTTTAATGTGTGATTGTATTTTATAGTGTGCCTAATTTTATTTTGAAAACTTGTCTCTGACATCCTTTAACATAACACCCTTTAATGTACATTTTGCATTTCACAGGCTTTGGTGAGGTACACTGGTACCTTGGGTTAAGAACTCAATTCGTTCTGGAGGTCCGTTCTTAACCTGAAACTGTTCTTAACCTGAGGTACCACTTTAGCTAATGGGAGCTCCCGCTGCCACCACACCGCCACCGCGCGGTTTCTGTTCTCCTCCTGAAGCAAAGTTCTTAACCTGAGGTACTATTTCTGGGTTAGCGGAGTCTGTAACCTGAAGCATCTGTAACCTGGAACGTCTGTAACCTGAGGTACCACTGTATGTAAATATTGATAAATAGATAAGATGACCCTGCTTGGATTACACCACTGGCCACTACAGTCATATCTCGGAAGTCAAACGGAATCTGTTCCAGAAGTCCGTTCGACTTCCAAAACGTTCGGAAAGCAAGTGCGGATTCCGATTGGCTGCAGGAAGCTCCTGCAGCAAATCAGAAGCCGCGGAGGCTTCCGGGTTTGCATTGTTTGGGAGTCAAAACATTCAACTCGCAAGGCGTTCTGGATCCAAGACTGTAATCTGTTTTCAACAGTGTCTAACCAGGTGCCTCTGGTTAGGCAAGTCCACAAGCAGGCCAAAAGGAGCAAAGAAGGAGAGGTACCTTCTATCATGTCAGACCACTGGGCTCACCTCTCTCAGGAATGTCTCTACACTGAGCCGCAGCAGCTTTCAGGAGCTTCAGACAGGTGTCTCTCCTACCTTATGGTCACCAGATTTTTTTCAATGAATCTGGGGACCCTTTTTTTTCCTTTTCTTTTGAAGCTGAGTAGCAACAGGGAGTCAGTAGTAGAGATGGTGAGGCAAAAGACCCTGGGCCCAAGCACACATGCATATTGTATAAAGGTGCAAAGCCCTTCTTTTGCACCCTGTGAAACATAAATGCTCAGAGTTTTTAAAAAACTGGGCAACAGCGTGCCACCTGCCCATGACTCCTGAGCCTCCCCCAATCGCCTTCCCCCTTCCCCCTTTGTTTTGACTGATCAGGGGAGGCTTGGGAGTCACAGGGTTTCCCAGTTTTTAAAAAAACTCTGCGCATTTATGTTTCACAGGGTGTGAAAGAAGGGCTTTGCACCTTGCCTGGCAGAGAAACCGCGCGCCTTGCGCCCCTCCTGGGCAACGGCCGCCTTCCTGCAACTCCCAAGCCTCTCACAATCTGTCAAAACAAAGGGAGAAGGGGGTAGGAGATCTGTACTGCTGGAGGTCCCCGATTCCTCTTTGGCAGTGGCGGCGGCAGCAGCGAGCAGCTCCTGAAGCCAGCCAGAGCCAACTGCGCTACCAGGCTGGCTCCGGGCTGCTGAGGCTGCCGCTGCCACGTTTCCCAGGGACAGATTTGCAAATCTGGGGACATTTCGGGGAATGGAATTTGTCCAGGGACAGATTTGCAAATCCGGGGACTGTCCCCGGAAATCGGGGACATCTGGTAACCCTATCCTACCTGTACCCAGAGATGCCAGGAATCAAACCTGGGACCTTCTACATGCAAAGCAGATGCTCTATCGACTGAGCTATGGCTCTTCCGTGTCACAACATGAGGGTGGTAGCAGAATTTATCTATGCACAGGCAATCCTCATTTTGCACCGGGGTTATGTTTTGGACCCTCATCCGGGTTCGGAGCTATGCGCACATGTGTGATTGTGCATCATTTGGACACACCTAAACTGGTCGCTGCCTGAATGTATTTATTTAAAAGGGTTCCTAAAAGGCTTGTTTATTTATTTATCAAAACTGATACAGTGGTACCTCGAGTTAAGTACTTAATTCGTTCCGGAGGTCCGTACTTAACCTGAAACTGTTCTTAACCTGAAGCACCACTTCAGTGCCGCTGGAGCACAATTTCTGTTCTCATCCTGAAGCAAAGTTCTTAACCTGAAGCAATATTTCTGGGTTAGCGGAGTCTGTAACCTGAAGCGTATGTAACCTGAAGCGTATGTAACCCGAGATACTACTGTATAACGGCTTGATTGTAAACCAAACTAACTAACTAAAAACCCCACACATGCAACCATCATCAAAGCAGTTTACAGATCATATCTTTAACTAGCATTTAAAAAACCCCAATAAAGCAGCATTGTAAAAACTGAGGTGCTACTTAAAACACACACACACACACACACACACCTGTAAAACAGTGTAATAAAAAGAGCTTGCAAACAGGAATTTGGTCATAAAAGAGACCAAACAGAGTAAGTTAATTAAATCACCTGTTTGGGCTCCACCACGGCCGTCATTACTGGGTACATGGACTGACAACATGGAAGCTTGTCTGTCTAAATCAGTTTTGACATGGATGTTAGCTGTAACTAGGATTGAAATAGCTCAGCAGTGGAAAACTTTGGAAAATCTACATTTGTCTTTGTGGAATAAGGACTTGTTGGCTTTGGCTGTTGCAGAAGAAGTTACGCACAAACTGCTTGTTTCCGGGGGTGTGGGGGGTGTGGAGGACGCAGAGCATCATCTACTGAGGTTTTATTTCCTATTCTTCGGACTTAGATGCTAAATATTCACCATCCACACCAGCTCAGGAAATGCGGACGTTGTGATTTATACTTGTGTATAAATACTTTCTTTTCTCTATTTGTTTATTGCTTGTTGACTTTAGCATACGGAACGATGCCATACTCTGCTGCTGCACTTTTGGGTTGTTAGAAATATTAGCAATAGAGGAAGTTTTTTTAAAAAAAATAAAAAGTGACCAAAAGCAGGGGCCAGGGAGAGCCTAGGCAAAAAGATATGCCTTTGAAAAGGCAACCCCAATGACAATAACCTGTGGGAAGTTATTCCTGGGGTAGCCAAGGAGCCTAGAAACAAACGGCTGTCTCCAACTAAGTTCTACTCAAGAGTAGACCCTCAAAATTAATGGAGATGGGTTCCTCACATCCGTGAATTTCAGTGGACCTCCTCCAAGGATGACTGATTACTGATGACAACTAAAAAAAAAAAATAATCACAAGAAAGAGACTGAGGAGAAATGTGTGTGGCTGTACCTTGTCTTGTGTGAGGCGATTCTTCCGGTTGAGGGCATAAACAGCCGAATCGGTGGCAGCCAGGGATACGAAGGCTCTCGCATCCGTGTCTATGGTGAGGGTCAGGAAGTCCTGAGGCTGCAGATCAGTACTTGATGTCCGGAGTACCAGCTGGAGATTGGAGGGGCATAGACATTAGGGGC